GGAGCATAAGCATGAATCTCACTTGCCATGTTGCGAAAAGACTCATATTGTTCCATGTTTAGTGGCTGCAGAAAGAATTACATTCTCAGCAATATCTCAAGATTATCACATGATGCTAACAAACAGCAATCAATTTGATAATTACTGAAACAACATCAACTACTGGACATACAACAAAGACATAAAAGACTTATAGCACATAAAAAAGAAGTATAAAGATGCAGAAATGATTGGCGTCACTTTACAGACCAAAAATAATAAATAGAGAAAAGCTGAGACATCACGTCCTTCCCAGGATATTATGTCTCATTAATATGGCATATAACAGCTAATTTTTCTGCCAATTAAAAAACAGATAATACCTCATCCCACAGGTAAAAGTAGGCTTTCTTCCAATGACTTTTTGTCCTCAATACCTCAACTTCTTTCTGCAAGTAATTCTTTGCTGCATCATTACTGTTGCACATCAACAAGTCATGGACATTCATCAGTTTTTGTTACCAAAATACCTGAGAGAAGTGAGCATGCAACTAACTCTATACCGGGAGACCACTGGACCATATGGAACAGCATATGCTGCTAGTCGTGGATCTGAAAAGTATTCGTCTGTTTTTGGATGATCCGCTGCAGTAGCAGACAAGGTAAAATATATATCAAAGAGGGAAAAACAAGAGCAATCACTGCTGTAAAAGTAGATTAATGACAATTCACTTTGTTACCTGGCCAGGGAGATGTGTAAGACAAAACACGCATGCTATCACCCCATCTACAAAAATATGGGCTGATTCTGTACTGAAGAAGCCACTTGAAATGCTGCTCCAATGCATCATACCACTCACTGCTCCCATGTTCAACACCAAAGCGATCCTCAATTACAGTATCAGATATCTAAATACATGGTTAAGCACACACTGAGTTCTCCAGAAAGGAGAAAATGAAACATCCATAACTTGTCATCAGCCATTCCAAATATAATCTGAAATGAATTATTATGCGAGGGTATAGTGAGGAGTGAGGACCGAATAAACCTTTAGTTTGTGTTCTTGGTCATATAGGTGGCAGCCTACACTTATTATGAATACAGAAAGACTTTAACTTAACAAAAATACAGGATACAGCAAAGACAGCAGGAAGTGAGGGGGTTGTTGGAATAATGAAGTCCCATACTGTCAAACTTAACTTGACCCGTACTGAAAGGTTTGATATAGCATCTTCATCCATCATATCAACTAGCCCATTATCCGAAAAGAACTCAGAAAATGATGGAGACAAAAGAACTCTTCTTAAAGATGTAGTGGCAGATTTCACTGTTTCTACCTAAAAAGCAATTAATCATATGAACGGCTTAAAAAAAGAGAAGCAAAACTTAAATGTAATACGGACTCAAAGAAGAATAGATTCAGATATTCACCACTTCATCCAATGGCTTTCCATCTATGGGCTCCAAAGCATCAAGACAGTTACGAAGTTCTGTGAATAGTCGATGCTTCTCAGCCTTGCCCAAGCATTGTGATGACGATCTGAGTAATCGGAATGAATTCTTGAGATTACATTTTTATAATAACAAGTATGAAATAATAGAGCAAAACTACTCAATTCATGCAAAAGCCCATACAAAATATTAAGCACACCCTTTTAACAGCTGCAATTTATTGACTCCAATTGACAGAATAAAAACTAAAGGTAAAAAGGGTAAAGGAGGAAAGATGGTTACTCTGCATCTGCCTTTATAGCATTAATGATGATCTCCCCTTCATATATGCCTGGGGGCTGTGCACTTGGCACATCTATTGAAACCCAGACAGCACTTGTCTCCCTGAAGCAGGGGAAAAACAAAAACAACCATCTTAGTCTTAAGAAATAAGAAGCCACTCATTTTTGTTCACACCACCAAAACATGCACTATGAAGCCATTAACAGAGTAGTACCCAGGTTGTAGGCTTATTTGACTAATTGGAAGATCAAGAGGTACAAGAGCATCGGGTACACCCAATATTGGAACCACCCGGCGCAATGTTAATGATTGGCCAACAATCAACCTGTCCACGGTCAAATATTAGCGAGAATATATCTAAAACTACGCCATATAAAGAGCCAAAATTGTCTAGAAACTAACCGATCACCAGATGGTGAGCATAAGTCACTGCACTGAACCTGCACAACTCCAGCAACACTAGAACCATTCCAAGAAACTTTTGGACGGATGGCAATTTGAACACTTTCCCTCTCATTTCTAGCTGCCAGAAGGTTTATCTTCAAGATTAAAAAAACATTAGAAGTCAGAGCAATATATCTACTCAAAGAACATGTGAGTCATTTCTAGTAGTAATCACTCCTTAAATTTGTTCTTTATAACCCATGGGCCCCAAAAACAAAATTAAAAAGAAAATAGAGAAGAAATGAAAGAAAAAGGATATTAAAAAATAAAACAACTGCACCCAAAAAACGCAAGTGTTTCTTTTCAGGCTACACACTACCAGAAGGAAATCTAATTGAGAAGGAAACATAAGATTTTAATATACATATCATACATTGTGAAATCTATCCTGAAGTTTCCTTCAAACCTCCTCCACCCTGCAGTGTGCATAAGCAAAGATGTGTGAATCCTATCCCTATAGACTATAAAGATACAAGAATGAAGACAGAATTGAACAACAGTAGTATGGGAAGTAAATAAATTTTATATTTCTATTTGGATGAAATGAATGTCAAAAAGAAAGCAATCTTTTATTTTCTATACAAACATAAAATGTTAATAAACATGCATGCATTAATGATTAACCATAATTTGATATATAAACATGCAAGCCTAAATCAAAACAACAGGCCAAACTATCAACCGTGACTAGTGCTTGCATGCATGGGGTGAGCAAACACAGTTGTAAGCCAGCTCAAAAGAAAAAAAGAAGGTAAAATAAAGATCCAAATCTACCCCTTGAACCTGCATGAATGTATTCCTAAATCGAATTTCTGATTAAATATTCAACAGCAACAATAAAACAGTGTGGCAATGACTTACAGGCTCTAAATTTCTAGGCACTTCTTGTGGTCCAACATTTGCTGTGCTCGGGAGGCACCACACGTGTACTAAATCAGCAGTTAGAACTTCTGTGGGGTCAATTGAGCCCTTGAGTGGATTTGAGACATGGAAACCACCATCATTCCATCCATATGCTGTCCCTCCCCCTGCAACACCTTCAACCGGTGGCACAACCATATCTAGCAGATTTCCTGCTAAGTTGTCAAAATACTGATCCAAATTTTATATTCGGAATGTTGAGGAAATTGAAATCGACAAGATAAAGTTAAGACTGACTAAACAAACTTTTCCATCCTAATGCTTGGTTTAATACCCTAACTCATTCATTTCAAGAACCAAGTCGAGAGTGTAATTAGCCAAATAAAGCATTTGAGATCATCCTCTTTCACGAGTAATCAAGAAGCAAATATGCTGGTAAGACATTACAGTTTTAAGTTCGCTTGGTTTTGCTTTCACAGATAATCCACCCATATTTCAAATATATTTAAGTCAAGAAATCACGGTCAAACTCATATTCCATGATTTAACGATACCTAGAATTAGTATCCTCTGAATTCAACCTTAAATAGCAATCGGTGGAACTTATAAGGCTATAACACAGCTTTCAATTGAGTAACCGCCATAGATCTCCCCTAAACAAAAAGCAATAAAGTAGAAAAAGAGAACATAATCGAAAAGCAACAGAAAAAAAGTAAAAAAAAAAAAAAAAGCGAAGAATATTATACTGAGTAAGCTTAGGAGCGTAAGCTTCCAAGTTCATTTTTCTCTTTTTCCTTTTTTTTTTTTCATTTTCCCTCTGATTTTCTCAGCAACCAAACAGAGCAATAAAATTCGGAGACTAATAAATTAAACTGTTGGAAGAAGAGCAAAATGAAAAAACCGCCATAAAAACGCAAGTTCGTGAAGATAAAGAAACATAAGGAAAACAAATACGGAGACCAACCAGGATTGTCCATTTTCGGAGCAGTTACGCTAGTGCGCTTCTTGCAATTACAACGATCTTTGAAATCTCCTGTTTGTGAGATTTCGTAGACAGCCAAAATTCGCCTGATGGAAATGATCGCGTATTTTTTATCGAGAGTGAACAAAACTTGTTGCTAATTATAGGAAAGAGAAATGATAATTCCACTCCAAATTTTGCTTTTACACACCTCCTCTTGGAGTGCTACTTGACCGTATCATCGTTTAGCATCAAGAGTGCCCGAATTAGAAAATTTGTAATTAATGCTTTTTTCAGAATGATTTTTTGGGTGATTTCATTTCAATAGCCAAAAGACTCATAATAGCTAGTGTGTTAACAACGGTTGTATAAGTGGCGAAACGAACTGCACCTCCTTTTTAGCCTTGAATTTGAAATCTTTAAGAGATTCTGCAAACGTGATTTTTCATTAATTCGTTAAATTTTATGTAAATAAATTTATTGGAATCAATTTGAAAAAAAAAAGTATTAAATAAAATCCAAGAATTTTTACCACTTAACAAAAGAAATAATTACCATGTTAAAATTTGGAAAAAACCTGAAAACAAGGATGAGAATTATTCCACTTGCTTTGAGAATAAATTACATCAAAAATGAAAAAAAAATGAGTGATTTTGTATAATAGAGTATATGATGATCTTATTATAGCTACGAGTATAACAATAACAACAAACTAAATTTTATATTTCATAATTTTAAAATTGACCGTATAAAAGAATTAAAAAAAATTCATATTAAATTGTAATTTTAAATTTTTTTACGTAACTCATTTTTATGAAAAATAACATTTTCATTCATCTATTTTTTAACTTTTATATTTTTTTTATTACTTATATTCACGTTTTTCGTAATCTACCTCTTAATTGGTGCACAAAAAATTTATGTTTCACATATTCAAATAATTTCAAACAACTTTTTCTCTTCTTTTTCTCAATTCAAACTACTTTTAATTTTTCTTGAATTTTGTTATTTCTGATTTTGTTTTTTTTAATCTTACCACATATTAACCTAAGTATATTTATCTCACCTACGTTCATTTTCTTCTCATATTATTATGATTTTATAGCTATGAGTATATACGAGTACATCCTCATCTTATCATAGCTATTATGAGTATACATGATTTTATATGAAGCAACACCATCACATGCACTTACCAAGACATAAATATTCATCTCTGTTAGCCCTTGAGATTTACATCATCCAAAAGCAAAAAGTAAAACCACTGGTTAAAAGCTCATATGAAGAGAAGGGAAATACAATGTTGCATCATTAAGTGGAACACAAAAGCTTTGTGTTAGGACACTACCAACAAAAACTACAGCAGTGCCAATGTTGTATATATTTTGCAAGGAATAGCTATGAAAAAGTGTAAAATACAGGTGAGACAAGCACCAGTTCACTACATACTAACAAAGTAGTATGTAAATCCACACCAAATTAGATTTCCACCAAATAATTCAAAATTTTCACGTTCGGATCACCATTGCAATCTGTCATGCCAATGCAACTCCCACCCTTGGGATAAATGCCTGAAATTAGGGGAAAAAGTTGAAATAAATAATATTGTATTCACTATAATGGTCAATGCCAAACTACCAATAAGATTAACCATTGCACTAGCCATCGAGGAAACACACAAATATCATGGTTTTTTCCAACAAAATCCAAATACAGAGAAGTACCAATAAAGTTTTGGCAAGGGATACAACAACGTAGTAAACATAGTTCCAATCTTTTGCAGCAGCAATGACATAAAAAGCACTCTTTAAATTTAAATTATATCACATGAATAAGGCCACAATATGCAGTATGTAACCTCAAACTATATTTTGAAACATCATATGCAATTCCACATGTATAAGACAATCAGCAAGGAAAGAACATTAATTTTCAAATCCTGATTTAAGTAATGTATGAAAGCTTTCAAGGAGGAAGGAGTGAAGAACGGAAAATTTAGCTATATCTTATTCTAGTTTATCTACAGTCTTGATTTTATAATCCTAATTTTTTGGGTCATGTCAATCAGCTTCAATAATCTCTAACAAGCTTATAAAAACTTTATCATCCCACAATTTTTCTAAATTATTTCCAAAAAAGCAATGATTAAAGCAAAGTAAAATTTAGTATTACATTCAACAGAAAGATGCAAAGAAGAACCAAACTCCTAAACTTAGAAAGAACTTAAATCCACATTTCTGTTACAAGCAAGGTACAATATGGTAAAGATTGCAAAGAATATTAGGATGAGGAACCAAGTTCTAGACAATAAAGTTTCTGCCTATTGCACCAAAAATATTTCAATGAAATGGAGCCAGAGGACATGGTAAAGGATCTACCTCTTGAAGAACTCAGTTACATATTTTGAGCTGTTGTAGAAAATGAACCACATCAACACAATCACCAACAAATCTGCCATGGTTTAGGAACTGACAAGTGGGATGTTATCTTAATAACTGATGTGATGAACAAATAAGTTAATAGGATCCTTTGACTCTATTCTAAACTGGTAGATAAGAAAGCCAAAATTTCTCAAAATTCCAAAGTTCAAACTTTATTAAATTAAACAGCTAATCAGAAAGTACAAGACAGCTCCTTGTATAACAATATCAGCATAATTCAGTCACAGGCTTCCACAAAATGACCATGTTTGATCCTTTTGTTAGGTAAACGATGAATACAGATAGAATCATCCAAATGAAATATTTTAACAATCCCTACAGCATGCAAATCCCGAAAATCCCTAAAACTGAAAAAGGATACTGAAAAGGTAACGCTCCCACCAATCCAACATGTAGAGTCCAAAGGTGGCATTGTAGAGATAGATCTTGCGCTGAACCCAGTTCATCTCTAACCCCTATAAATAAAGCAATAGATGCCTGTAAAAATCATTACAGTCACACAAGAAATGATCAATTAAAAAAATTCAAATTCATGGCCAAAGTCATTACAGTGATGGAATGCCTTAAACTACAAGCTGAAATCATCTTAATTTATGATTCAATTTCTGTCAGATGCAACTTGAATTATCATAAAGAAGTGAGAAAACTCAATAACTCAACATCCAAACCTTATTCATATTACTTAATTCACTCTCGTGCTTTTTGAACCAGTCAAGAAAGAAAAGCACTATTTCCAGGAGACAGACTGAAATTATTACCCAACAACAACAAAATAAAATCAATAGCAGTTAAAACGAAAATTGAACAAAATTTCAGAATTATCCACGGCGAGGTAGCTTAGGTTCATTCGATCAAATGAAAATAAAATTTTAAATGCAAGGGTTAAATTGAAGGAATTCTACGCTAATTTTATTGAGAATTTAATTCTGATTTCTTAAACAACTTAGCAAAAAGCTAAAACAAAACCTCCAGGAATAAAGGAATCAAAAAGCTTACCTTACCGAAGCAGGGGCCGTTGACGGTTGCGTTAATGGTGTGATCGAATCGAGAGTGAAGAGATTCTCTGAGATTTGCTAAACTATAGCAAAGAGGAAAAAAAAGTGTGGCCTTTGGCGTTACGGTCAAAGATAGACAGCAAATACTTTTGTTGACAATTTAAAGGACGGAAATGCCATTTTAGTGACGTGTCAGTTACTAATTCGCTCTATTGGTAACGCAGACAAAGAGCTGTCCATACTGTGTAACACCCTACTGTGTCTCAGTAGCAGAACACAAAATAAAACCACCATAAACGGTGGACAGTGCGAAAAAAGAAAATCTCTCTCCTGTCTCAAGGGGAAAAAAAATTAGGGTTTAGGGCTTCGAAAATTTTGAAGAAGCGATCGAAAGACAATGGATAGTGCTTTAGCAAACGCCTCGGCGATCGTAGATCAGAGGCGGAAAATCGAGCAATACAAACACATTTTATCAACTGTTTTCTCATCAAACGATATCGTTCAAGCGAAGAAATTCATTGATCATAGTAATTGCCTTGCTTTTGCTTGATTTATGCGGTTATTTAGGGCTTTTTTTTTAGGTTTAGTTATTTTAATTGGTGACTAATATTTGTCTCAGTGTTATCGGACGATGTTCCACTGGTGGTATCAAGGCAGCTTCTACAAACTTTCGCACAAGAATTAGGGAGATTGGAGCCAGATGCGCAAAAGGAAATTGCCCATTATACCCTTGCTCAGATTCAGCCTCGTGTCGTTTCATTCGAAGAACAGGTTCGTTTTAGATTTGATTGCTATCCCCTTACTGAAAGGTACTGGGAAAATTGTTCTGTTTGGAAGTACTTTTTCACCTTTCGATACCATATTGTTCAGCCTTTTATTTATTGTACCTTTTTGCTTAAATTTTGCTCGCGGCATGGCTTCCATTTGGTTGCAAAAGGGAAATTTGTGTTTTTTTTTGTTTTTGGCCTCCTGTTTTATTTTTAACGAAACCTGTTTATTTTGTATGAGTTGTATAGGTATTGATTATCAGAGAGAAACTTGCTGAGTTGTATGAATCTGAGCAACAGTGGTCAAAAGCAGCGCAGATGCTAAGTGGGATTGATTTAGACTCTGGAATGAGGTCTGAGAGTAAGATTCTCTTTAATTTTTCTAATGATGGCTGAAGCGTATTTTCTTTTGTTCCTATTGATGATACTTATATGTTTATGAACTGGCTATCAGGGTTATTGACGACACGTTCAGATTGTCAAAATGTGTCCAAATTGCTCGTCTATATCTTGAGGTATTGAATTTCATTTTGGTGTTGTTTTTGTTGAATGCTAGCTTGATTTAGACAAGTTTGGATGTGTTAGAATGCCAAGGAGTAATGTGGCTACTTATTCTATTGCTGACACTTAAAATAAGTTTGGAACTTTGACTGCAACCATTGCTTGAATATTTTACAGGATGATGATGCTGTTAATGCAGAAGCTTTTATTAATAAAGCTTCATTCTTGGTTAGCAACTGTCAGCATGAAGTATTGATTTTACAGTACAAGGTTTGGCATAGGTTTTTGGCCAATAATTGTAAAGTTAGAGCTGGAACTGAAGTTGTTTGTTTACTTTATTCTTTTTCTTGTTTTCAGGTCTGTTATGCAAGGATTTTGGATTTGAAGAGGAAGTTCTTGGAAGCAGCACTGCGGTACTATGACATATCTCAAATTGAGAAGCGACAAATAGGAGATGAGTATGTAATTTTAGGTTCTATTTGTTTATATAAAAGTTTTGCTAGTGTCTCCATTTAGGAAGCAGTTATTAGCTCAAATTTGCAAAAGCACCTTAACTCTGTACATGGTGTTTACATTAATAATGATCATGCTTCGCATACCATGTACAATTATCAATTTGCTTGTATCTCATATCTTCTTTTCTGAATTATGAGATATGTTTGAGGGATTATGGTGCAAAAGTTATCAATATTCACTTATTACAGAACAATTGATGAGGATGCGCTGGAGCAACCTCTATCTGCCGCTGTAACCTGTACAATATTAGCTGCTGCAGGTCCTCAACGCTCTCGTGTTCTTGCCACCCTTTACAAAGTAAACACTTTCACTTGATGGTATGTAATATGAGAAATTCCTTTTATTGTTTGAGTCGAATTATGTTAATGGTTTGGGACATGTTTCAGGATGAACGGTGCTCCAATTTGAAGATTTATCCGATATTACAAAAGGTTCTCTCTCTATCTCTCATGCGTCCCTGCATGCACTAGTCTTGCATATTGTTGTCCATTTGATGGGGATTTATATCGAAATTGACAGGTTTATTTGGAGAGAATTTTAAGAAAACCCGAAATTGACGCATTTGCTGAAGAACTGAAACCACATCAGGTTATAAAAAGGTTCAACTGTCCTAGATGTTACATTTACAATAAAAGTAAATTCTCCTGTCTTAGATTAACCTTTTGTTTCCCAATAGAAAGCACTGCTTCCTGACAATTTTACTGTACTGGACCGAGCCATGATAGAGCATAATCTTCTGAGTGCAAGTAAACTTTACACAAATATAAGGTTAGAAACGTAACATTATTGATTTCCATCTTATCTTATTTCTAAGTTTGGAATTTTTTTTTAAAAAAATTTTGCTGTCTTTGTAATAGTTTTGATGAGTTGGGTACTTTGCTGGGCATTCCTCCTCGTAAGGTATGATTTCTTTGTGGCACCCTTTTGGTCCAATTAAGCAACAATAGCAGCTGTCATTACAACCTTTTTAAGCTACTTGTTCTGCTTGTGGTTTTTGATTCTCTGGTCTTTTCTGTCTTATGAGGAAATATTTTCATATATTGTAGTTAATGGAGAAGATGATTGGCTGATATTTCTTTACAGGCTGAGAAGATAGCGTCAAGAATGATTTATGAGGATAGAATGAGGGGATCGATTGACCAGGTTTCAATTTCTTGCCGCATTATTTTGTTTAATTCCTGCTTTTATGGATTCAATGATCTTATGATTGTGTTCTTATGATCCTCAAGTAGAACCTAACTCATAAATTGTGTTTATTAAGATCTATATATATAATTAATAATCTTATGCATCAGGTGGAAGCGGTTATACATTTTGAAGATGACACTGAAGAGCTGAAACAATGGGATCAACAGGTAATGAATCTTGAGTATGGACTTAATTATGGCCAATGTGTGCGTTTCTTTGCAACTTCTTAGTTTTATCTTAGTGTATGATTTTGCAGATAGTTGGTGTTTGTCAAGCTCTGAATGATATACTAGATAGCATGGTAAAGAAGGGCATGGCAGTTCCTGTCTGATCCAGTGCACCTGCCAATAACAAAGAAACTTAGAAGAGGAAGGATTGACTTTATCCTTAACCTGTATGCATAAAAGAACACCGTCTATCCCCTCTCATTTATGCCAATTTTCGTTCTTTGGTGTTTACTTTTGTAACTTCGATTGTCTGTTAGGTAGGCATGGGATTTTGGATAATCAACTTAAGTTTCTGTAATTGTTATTGTTATTTTCATTAATTTTTTCAGCTGTTTACTAAGAAATGTGCCTTATTGATCAGTTATGATGCCTACATCAATCTGAGATTTGCTAGAAATTCGTTTAATGTCCTCAACTTAGTTGCAGAATACCGGCAACTCTTTCCTTGCCCCTATTATAGAAAAAGGTAATACACAACTGAGAGATATGATCTAACAAAGTCAACAGATGTTGGTTGAATTGGTAAGGATTGATATTTAGTTTATAAGATTTATGTTGGTTGAATTTGGTAAGGATTAATATTTACCGTATAAGATTTATAAATTGGTTGAATTGGTAAGGATTAATATTTTGAATTGTTAGTTATTTATGCTACTTTTCACGTTTTAGAAGGTAACGAATAGAAAAAGCCTCTTAAACCAAACTAGTCGTCTACAAAATTACTTTCTGGACTGTACATTAAGGAACATGAACGTGGGCCCGACAATCATTTCCAGCAATCGGGCAAATTTTGAATGAATGACTATCTAATGCAATAACTCTGCCCCAATTTACGTCTTGCTTATAAAATGCCGGTAATCGCCAGCAAGAGGTGGTTATTTCAATCGGGCTCAAATGAGTCACCTGCTTAGCTGCTCAAGAACATCTGATGCAAATTTTTGACAGTCTCATTTGATTTCTTGGTCAACCGATCTGAGTAACTGAGATTTTGAGTTCAACTGCATAAAATGAATCATGTTTATTATAGCCATATATATCAGAATCGCCATATTTATCAACAAGTTAAAACCATTGCTTTCTTTTTAGTGCAGCACTTGTGAGTATTGAACAAGTAGAAATGAAAGTAAGGAGATCCTCTTCCTCTTTCTGTAAAATTTGTTCTAATTTTACAGTTTCTTAAATCCTCTGTTTTTCCCTTTCATAAATGATAAAAAAAAAAAAAAAAGGCACTGGAATCAACTCAAACTATGTCCCTAAACCTCTGGATGGGGAGCACTTGGCTGAATCCTTCCCAGATTGTAAGAGCACATCATGATTTATTGATGCCAGTTGTGACAAATTCTGCAATTGAACAACCTTTTAAGAATAAGGAGCTCATGTGCTTTATAAAGTAACCACAATTTTCAACGTTCAAATAATGAGAGTATGTCGTGATTGCTACTATGTTTTTGGAAATTTCATGATTGATTATTTGATGGTATTCAGTTTCTGGAAATCATAAGACAGATCTAATAACAAACATGCAGAAACAAGAATTTGGATGATATCTTTTTATCTTGAACGGATTTCGACTAAGAATGGAATAACATATTATCACTATTAATTTACTCTTTCAGGGATACCAATCACTACAAATGTACGAGTGCATTTACCTTTGTATGTCTCAAGAAAACCGAGTGCCATACCTTGAAAGAAAAATTAATCAATGAGAGATTAAGAGGAGAAGAATCAAACTCCGCTAGGTCACCACATTCATCCATCTGAAACAAAGGAAATAAGGGATGATCAGGATAGAATTGCCACATGCATGCAGCAGCAGCAGACAACGACATCCAAATTGAAGAAATTTTTTTTTCTAGAAAACCTTCCAACAGAAAGGATGAATGTTGCAGCCTTTTACTAGATAGACTATTTATAGAACTATACTGCAACATATATATATATATAATGTAAACTCAAGCACAATAAAAACACAAAGCCTTAAACATTAAATGGAGTTGGCTACAAAGATCACATTTCAATATTGTGCTCTATAAGATCAAATTCTACAGGGAAGACTTTTGCATTCTCAAATTAAGATGCTTGTGGCATCATTCAAAACTATAATTCTTGATTAAAACCAAATCCAAGTACACATGCCCACATGTCCATCCATCTGAAGTAAGCCAAAAATATTACTTTTCAATTTGATTCACAAGAAGATAGCATGGGCCATGAGTTAGTGAATTACCTCAAGTCCACCATTTGAGTTTGACTCACAAGTCTCAGTATCAGAACTACTACAATCGTTCTCATCAGGGATTCCACTGGAAATTTGAGGAAAACGTGATACAAAATAGCTGGTGTCATCTGCACTGTCAGGGTGTGGTATAAAGGCAGCCTGCAAGAAGTTAAAGCTAACATGTTAATATTGGATCTCCATCAAAGACAAATCAACATTTTCTTCTATTCTCCTAACCATGTTCCCTTTTCCTCTCTCAACAAGTTAACAGAGTACTATTGCTGTTATGTAAACGCAAATACATGCATAAAAAGGCAAGAAGACATCTATAAAACGTGAAAAGTTAAAACGATTTTTACACCTTAGGCAGACAATAGAAGAAATTACTGTATCAACACACGTAGAAATGTTTAAGCATACAGGATAATCAATAGACAATGGGTATAAAGCCCAACAGAATAAGACAAAAAACCAATTATCTGATATTGATGAACTAAGATAGCCATATGCAAATATAAAATATAAACACATTGCACCTGCTAAACCTTCACGTATTGCATTAACAAGGAAATATAACAGTCAACCATGTTGTTAGAGGCAAAGATAGAATTAAAGCTGTGGATTCATACCTTTTGCAGTGCAAGACTATCCCAGTTAACTCCATTGAAGAAAGGATGCACTTTTACCTGTAAGATGGTCCCACTTAAATTACAGTAACAAGAATACCTTTTCAAGTTTTAATAGCAAATGGAAGGTATACTTTGCTTTTCCAATGAAATGAAAAGTTAGAAAGTGAAGTACAACCTCAGTTGATCCATTTGCACCTAACCGCTGATTGGGATCATGTATAAGAAACCTGTAAGAAAATGCATTGGTACTGAATAAGTTGTTGTGAATAAACTTTACCCCTAACATGATTAAGTCAATAAAATACAAGCTAAAAACATATCTTAAGACTCAAAGCCAAAAATCAACCTGTTAATTAGATCTTGAGCCTCATAGGACATCTCACTAGGCACAGATGGCCATGGAATTTTTCTGTTCAGAATGTTGTCAAAAATTATCTGCAAGGCCATGACAAAAGCATGAAAGAGAGCATTCCTAGTCAGCCAACATTTTTTACATAGCATTACGCTAATAAGAAGGAATCCAAAAAGGAATGAGTTCAACTAATAAAAAAGGTATGTATGTATGTATACTACGTTCCAGAGAACAAATACAAAGAACATAAAATTCTTAAAAATAATACATGGTAGTTAGAAATCACATATTGTGGCGGTTAATAATTGCAGGATGAAACAACGTTCAATCAACTAAAGTTTAACGGAAAAGTTCGCATCACTTATACAACATATTTCCAAGAGATTAATTTGATAAACAGAGTCACCACCTAGTTCAATGAGAACAAAGGAATACACAAAAACCGTGAAGAAATTGATAAATGTTGCACTTATTATAAAGCATAGTGGCTGATTAGTTCGACATCAAACAAATATGGTGTGAGAGAACAATGGATGATAGAAACAGCCATTTGCAGTTATAAAACAAACCTTAGCCTTGGCTTCGAAACACAAATTAGGTCTTTTTATGTGTTCCCTTCTCAAGATTTAATTTAAATATCAGAAACATTTTTGTTTTGGGCAGTAAAATCATTTTTTCAAAATTTGAGAGGCAGCTCATTGAATTAAAAGAGATCCCACATCAACATCAAGATCCAACAGACACAAGATTCTGCTGGACCATAAACTGAAATAATAATTCAATACCTTCATTAAAGTTACATATTGTTGGTGTATGCCCTAAGACCAGTTGGATTGGTTATGGGATACATATCATATTAAGCATTACCATAATTGACTAAGGCATTCTTTATGTACAAGTTTGTTTATGCTTGACATTACTTACTTCCTAGATAAAGTCCTTGGAATAAATATGCTTTGCAAGAGAATTACAATATGTTGTAATTATGAGATCATCATTTTGTTAAAGCATGCATTTTTCCTAAATTGTTTCTAGTCAATGCTTTATCAAGAAATGGATTTCATAGAAGCTATTAAGACTGGTACATGGTTATGCTCTTGCTTATGAAGCTAGCAACCAATTTCATAGGTTGAAGTTTGGGTAAACTTGAGCTAACATGTGAGTGCTTATTACTGGCATAAGAATTCGGCTGAGACTTCTACCTAACCTTGGTGAAGGTTCTTTCATCCTTGTTCATGTGGACTTGACATTAACAACTGCAGGTTTACAGCAACCAAGCTTGGTGCTTCTCGTTGTTTGCCGCACACAACTACCCAAGGTATGCAAAATTTGCTCTAGCCGGTTGGTGTGCATGATTGTGTAAGTTCTTATCAATGTGATTCTAGGATTTGGGAGTTGTTAAAATTTTATAATTTGTGTTGACATGTTAATTACATGATCAATTCCCAACACATATTACTTTAGTAATAGTGAGGATATGAGTGAATGAAAATAAGACTTCAAGAAGATATATACCTCAGGGTGTTCAGCAGTGAAAGGTGGAATTCCTGTTATGAACTCAAACAAGATTATCCCCACTGACCACCAGTCCGCAGCATAACCTGCATGAACATCAATGTTGTAATATCAAATGCCTCATCTAGTAAGGACTTACAATAAACCTGATCTCAGGCTGAATCCAAACCATGCTCAGTGCCAAGAAGAATTTCAGGGGCCAGGTAGTCAGGTGTTCCAACAGCCGAGTGTCGACTTCTACCCTCTATTTGTTGACTTTGTAGATTACAAGCATCTAATGAAGTGTTTCCAGTTGTCTCAGGTCCAGACAACTCAATTGTGTTGTTTATGAGACCAATTTTTGATAGCCCAAAGTCTGTAAGCTGGTAATGTAAGCAACAATTAGCTCATTATCATTACAATAACATAAGGTTAACGCAGATATGCAGAATGAGTAATTCATACTAGAAATCAAATGTTTCTTGATCAGCTATATAATTTACTCAAACAAAAATTTATTGTTCATACAGCAGACCTTAATGTGACCATCATGTGCAATCAGTATGTTGTCTGGTTTCAAGTCGCGATGTACAATTCCAAGGGAATGGAGATACTCTAAAGCAAGAACCTGAAATACGGATATAATTTAACAAAAGTTCATACAAGAATTAGATTGGACATGCATGATAGAAAATGAGTTCGTACAAACCAGTTCTGCAATATATGTACGAGCTACTTCTTCCTCAAGGCATCCAACTTTTCTGAGCAAAGAATACAGATCACCACCATTGAGATATTCCATAACCAAATAGAGGTTATCTCTACAGGTGAATGAATAAAAGAATCGGACCTGAAATGACCAACTCACATCTTTTTATTCAACTAGCCTCATTCTAAGACAATAAGACAATTTAAAGTTACAAACATTAACAATCTTTGTCAAACAATAAACCATAACAAGGATAAGCAGGTCAAGACAAAAGAGAAATTGCATGATTCAATGCTCAGTCACAAGGTAAACTTGAAAAATGTAGTTAATGCATTTTATTTAAATTGAAAAAAAGAATGTTATAGCTCAAAGCATGCTAGAATTAGCTATTACCACAAAAGGGTTTCGAACTGCTATGAGTATATTCCGCTCTGCTAATATACGCTCAATATCATTTTTACGTATCATATCCAATTTTTTGAGAACCTGCATAAGCAGCAAAATTACATTAGCTTAAAAACTAAAACCAAATTCTCGTTTTAAAAAAATGCTCAAGATTAAAATGAACTAGTTGAATGCTTCGTGAGAAAATAAAAGCTTGAAACTTATAATTAAACTTATTACTGGTATGTTCTGCCAGAAGAAATCATATTGTTGAAATCAAATTGCAATCAAATAACCCAAGAGATGTGTTGACCAAGCAAAGACTACAAAATTTATTCTTAGCATAATCAATTAAGCAACCACTTGATTCTGTCACTTTCAGTTTTTACAAACTGAAACAAGTATTATAATAGATTTTTCTACATTCATAGATATCCTGCATTTTCCTTGTCATATACATGAAAGTAATCTAAGACATTCTAGATTCTAGTACAAAAGAGGACAGGACTAAATGTTCACTTTATTCAGTGGGAGAAAAAAAAAGGAACTTTTACCTTTATTGCAAATAAGTCACCCGTTGTCCTTTTGCGTGCAAGAAAGACTTTACCAAAGGCACCTCTGCTAATTGGTTTGATGATCTCAAAGTCATCTATTGTTGTCCTCTCTTTGTGGGACATATTTAAAGGAGTTGACACTGTACTACTTTGAGATGTATTATCTGAGAAGAGTCTAGAGTTTTCCCTTTGTTCACTGCAACTCGTTGGACTTTTTATATGTGTTACTTCACAAGCAAGTAAATATTTCTCCCTGCATGAGTAGTTAAGAAACTCGATGAACTCTACATTGCATTGAGGTATGCGTTCAGTCTCAAAAATATTACTCTTGAACACTGTATTACCTTAGAAGTTTTTCTATCCTGCCTCCAAAAGTGTCAATTACAAGAGCTTTAAGCTTACTATGCTGTAAAACATCTTGCAGGTCTTGCATGCAAGCAAGCAAAAACTCATGAGACCCTTCTTTGGACAAGTCTGTTCCTGCTACACAACGGGCTATATCTGAAAGGTCAACCATCTGCCAGAAACAATAACAAAAGGACTGATTTAAACTTAAAAGTAACATCACGCTTTCACATTACAAAATAGCATTAGATGCAACACAGAAGCTCATTGTAAAGATAAAAGGAATATATCAGAAAAATGATAGTGTATACTTAGACATATGCAAACATATCTTTATCATAAAATAAAAAGATGGACAGATTATACTACTCATTATAGTTATCTATTTAATTGGGTGAATATATAATAGAGTGATCCTACTTTAACTTAACAGAGCTGCATAAGAAATGCATTAGTTCCATACGAGTCAAGAAGACTTCATTTAGTGTTTTGGCAAAAACACTGAATAATTTTTGCAGCAAGAATACGGGGATGAAAATATCAAATACAAAAAATATGAGATCCTCTAGTTCAACAAACCTGTTGCATGTCCTCTAGTTCAGAAGGATTGTTATGCTCCAACCAGAAAGAATCAAAGTGACTTGCTCTTGGAGTATTGGTAGAGGATACAGATGTCATGCTCCCAGTTGAGGATGATGCTCCATAGTTTCCAAGCCTCATGCCTAAATGGCCCTTAAAGTCAATAGAGGATGGATGAGAATCCTCTATGCAGGCAGTATCCATCTCATGTATGTCGTCAAACATTCCTTCAACACCCTTGTTTCGCCACTCACTTATCTTGGGAGAATAACCTTCAGATATGACTGCAGAGCTCAGATTTTGCATCCTTGAATTCTCGGGGCTCCCAAATGAGCTCAAATTCCGTGACTCTATAATCTGTTCTAATATTTCTGCAAGCTTTACAAGCCGTTCATCTACATCTATACAATTTAGTGCACATTTATCTGCATATGCACATATATAAGAATGAGATTCTAAATGAGAAATAGGAACAGCTTCCTCACATATTCTACAGATTACTGAGTCAGACCCATTTAGTGTTCGCTTAGGCTCAATATGTGAACCATCAAAATTATGGTTGTGCTCATGAAGTGAACTACAACAGGAAGTGTTAACTGAATTTCTTAGAAAACTGCCGTCAGCTTGACAAAATTGCTGCTCTTGTGAAGTAAAATCAGATCGAGATCTCTGTGTAGGTGAAATTTTCTCAAGAATAGTGGAATCTTTTCCAGAAGTTATACAATGCCGTCCGGCTGGCTCAGGGAAAGAAGACACTTTATTTTCTCCCTGCAATTTGTATTCACCATCAGCCTCCTGATATATAGCATTAGCTGAATGAGAATCAGCAACTGCAGCAGTGGGAACCCAACTCGTTTCAACAGCAGGAATGCTTTCTAAACATTTCTTAAATTTTTTAAGAGATTTCTTGTCAATCGGCTCTTTCTCTTTCTGAAATTGCAATAGCCTTGTGCAGCGTGTCAAAATAAAGAGCATGCGCGTGCACAACCACTTCACCAATACTGTTTGACACTGCTGTCTTTTTTCAGTCAAATTTTGAACTATTGTTTCACACTTAATGCGAAACTGAGAAGAGGTCATTTCAACACATTGTTGAGCAAGAAACAGAAGATCCTCTGCCATTTTGCGACCCTCTGGAGATGAGGAGTCAATGGTCTGAAGAACATCCATCACATCCCCAGCAAAAGTAGCCAGCTCTGTGTCCACCACCTCTTTAGCAGCATCAAATCTTGAATGTAATGAACCCAATAGTTCCTAACAATCAATTCATAAAAAGAGAGATAAAGGAAAAGAAAAATTAGCTGATTAATCAGAAATGAAAGAGTCCAATAGAACTGCCATTGTGGCAAAGCAACACAACCATAAGCACCAGCTTCTCCATTAAGATGACCTAATGCCCTACTATCATTTCTCATGCAGAATTGTACTAATAGTGATCCAGATAATCTAAAGTGGTCAAACTTTTCTATTGGTAGAGTAAACTAACCAAAATATGATTAATGACATTCAGAAACAAATATGAGAATCAAGTCGTTACTTGAACATGCAATATAGATGAAGCCTCTCAAGGAAAGAGAAAAAAACTTTGTACTAAGTAATACAAATTAAAATTTTCAAAATATATTGCAAAATCCTTTATTATGTTTTTTTTTTTTTTTAACTCAATAAGGAATTGAAAAACAGGTTATAACCAAGTTCTTTCTTCACTAATAGCAGCACAATACCTTTAAATCATTGTAACTGTGGGCTCGAGGATGGGCAGATGGAATACCACCCTTAGGACCTAATTCATGTGAAAAACTCTTTAGACCTTTTGACACTATGTTAGAGCATGCACTCTCTGCTGAAGATTGCTTTCCTTCCAACCTATTTTCCGTGTAACCGAGTTTAGTCCTTGAAGTTTCCTCTTTTTCACGTGTCATAACTTCTGAGCCACCACCCTGAAAATTTGGCAGCACGATTTCTCAGGTACATTTAATGCAAGACAAGTACATCATGAAACCAATCTGCAAGATGATGTTAGAGAAAAATCGGCATAGTTTAAATCTCACATCAATATTTGTAACATTATTGAAGGCTTGAGTGGAATTCCTTGAAATATATGATGAAAACCATTGTGCTATCTTCTTTCCTTTTTGTTCCACTACAAATTTGAAACCAGAAAGAGCAACAAATACACATTAATTTTGCTTTGAATAATAAATGCTTCATTAGAAAATAAGGAAGGGTAAACAAAAGACTCAGGACAAGGTTAAGATAACAAAAGAGAATGAACTTGGAAAAGTTAAAGCAAAACAAAAAGGAAAAAAACACCTTGGAAATATTCACTGGTCTAAGATAACGGGGTTAGCAGTAGTATTCTCGGTACAAAGCACAAACTCTGGTAATACCAAAAATTCTAAGTCACCTGAAAAATAAGCCTAAGAACTAATGGCACAGCGAACCATTAAAGTTGCAGGAATCCATTTCAGACTCATGTTTTAAGAGGTGAAAAGTTCTCTTTGCATAAGCAATGGAACGAATTGATGAAATTGATGGATAACTATTTCCATTTGACATGATTTAAATAAAAGAGACCTAGCAAACAACAATACTATAATCACTTTAACTCACGTTCATGTAGGCATTCATCGTATACGGATGACAATCTTCTTTTTTGCAAAATGGTTATGTTTGATTCCTAATTTTTGTTTTTGTTCTTAATCATCCTTAAGCTCTAGAATGATTTGAAGACGTTTGATATACCATCAGTAAAATTCAACTGACATTTAAAAATTCGTTTTCTTTCTCTCCATGTTTTCTCGGGAAACAAACAGGACCTTAACAAAGACGTCTGAGCTAAAATTGAAAAAAAAAGTAAAAATAAGAAGACATTCAGACCTTCTTTAGAGAAACCGGATGTTTTTCCTTGTCCACGAGCGACTGAGTTCTGTTTCTGCTTCAAAGGAGGCTTCGAAGTCCTTGACTCGTTCAACTCGCCCAGTTTTGTACTCGGTTGTTCCTTCAAAGAAACTCGCGGGGTTTTGATCCGATTCAATCCGGAAGGAATCCCGACTTCCGACGAGAAAACGTGGTCGTTTCGTCTCGTATCAGCCATCAATCACAAAAATCCAATACTAAAACCCTCACACTCGAGCTTCGTTCAGGTTACCGAAAGCACTTCATTAAAAAAAATAGAAACAAACATAAAAAAAAAAAAAACCCAAAAAAAAATCGAAATAAAATTTATTAATTAAAGAGAATTTGAAAATCAGAAAAATAAAATAAAAGGAAAAAGTTGAAACAGAAAATGGAGCACCTGAAAGAGTGTTTAGTTGGCGAAAGGAAGGAGTCGTTGTTGTTGCTTTGCGTGGTTGTTCGTTCTAGTTGCAAAGGAAAAGCCAGCTTTCGTGATGTGTGGAGCGGGTTCGGTTACAATGACGGTTGATAGATACTATTTAAAATTAAACCCAAAAAAATAAAACGAAAAATAAATGTTTTGGATAAATTTTTGCTTGGATTCAACGGATAACTTCTGGATTTTGTCATTTTATTTTTAAACTTTATATTTATTTTTTTCTTTTATTTTTATCAATCAGAAATGAATATATTTCTTTATTTTCATTATAGAAATGAAATTATATTTCAAAACACAATCTTTACCTTTTACAAAGAGAGTTTGAATTTTTAAATTGAAAATACGTGAAAGTTATAAATTCAAATCCTTAAAACTTCAGTTTTATATTTTCAAAATAGCATTCACTGGTCAAGCTTTTGATTAGCCATATCCCCACGCTGCATAGTTAATTTAAAGTGTACCAATGAATGATTAGTTTAATCATGTAAGTTTTTTTTTTTTTAATTAAAAAAATTTAGATTCAAATTTTATTGATGATCATTTATTAAGATTACTTCAAATACACGATTTATAATTAATTATTTTAAATTATTAGGTACGATATATCTTATCTTAATTCGAAAAATTAAATAATTTATCTATCTCGAATTTATTTTTATCAAAAAAATTTTAATGTATTAATTGGTTTAATCAAGTGTTTACATGTTGAATAAGCTTTTTGAATTTGAAAAAATAAAGAATCTGAATCATATATAAACAATTAAATCTAATTGAATCTAAGGCTTAGGGTTAAGTTAGTGTTATTGTTTTGATTAGAAAAAATATGATTAAAAATTTAAAATTCAAAAATATCTGCACCCACACTAATTTTCTATTCTCCTCGGGTAACTTAAAATAAAAACAATTAAATGAAGTGCTCGTATACTAAAATTTAATAATTGTACGAATTGAAATATTGGAATTCTCATAATGGAATTTGACAAATTCTCTAATAAATACACGTAATTAATCACAGCTTTTGACTTACATATCATTCATTTCAATGATAAATCGGCAATTTTATCAAGGTCATAAGTTTATTAAGCGGCTCTAAAGATTTCAAGAAAAAACTCCACTAAAATGTAATAAAAAAGTATATATTTGATGCATCGATAATTTATAAATTTTTTATATTATTAATGAATTAAATAATATTAATTCATTAATAAATTTTAAATTTTTGTGTGTTTAATGCTAATAAAAATTTATATTTGATTATTAATAAGTTGATGTTATTTGATTTATTAATCGTATATAAAATTTATATACTATACATCAAAGGAAAAAATTTTATATGAAATTTTTTAAATGAAGTTCATAAAATTATTTATTAAAATAATTAAATTAAATTAAAATTAAATGAAATATCTCGTTACATAAATTAAATATACAAAATTTTAAAAAAATTAATAAATTTTGATATATTTTTTAGATAAACATTTTTAGTAAAAATATTTAAAAAGTTTTTACTATTAAATAAGTATCAATTAAATTTAAATTATAAATAATATTTTTAATAATTTTTTTATATATTATTGATTTTTACATTATACTCGATCAATTTATCAATTTAAAATTTTCATTAAAATTTTTTTAAATCATTTTAAAAAAAAACTATAAACTTTATTTAAAAAATTTCACGTAAATTTTGTTCATACATAAGATATAAACTCGACATAATAATATCATTAGTGAGTAAAACTTTCCTAAACCAAATACAAAACATATTTAGGTTTGTCCTTCTCTTCCATAAGCAACATCTAAATATGTATTGATTCCTTCTCAACTTTAATATATAGGATAATGTCATAAATAACCTTAAATTATAGTAAAATATTTAATGTATTATTTGAACTTTAAAAATTTATAATATGATATATGAAATTTTAATATATTTTTAAAATTTAAATACCATATTAAATATTTAATTATAATTTAAAAATCATTCATATATTAACACTTAATATATATATATATATATTTTTTTGCATTACAAATTTTCATTTTCATTTTTTTTTCTTTAAGTATTTGATCTAATATTAATTATATTTACAATATTTTGTTCCCTGGAACCAATAAACAGAGGCACTTCTGCTGAGAGAATGCTCCTCTATGCCAACTGCAAATTAAAGACAAATGCTTGAAATTTTAGAACTTTCCTTCAAAAAGGATTAATGCTTGAAATTTTTGCATATATTATTTCTTTGTGTTACTAAAGATTAAAAATACAACATGGCAGGTTCAAATGGCTTCACAATATCTTATGAACAGCCAAAGGACAATCTAAAGGAACCCCCCTTGAAGTAGAAGCTAAAGCTCAACTGATTTTAAGAGTTAACTGTTGTCATCCACAACTTGGCTGTTCACAAATAAGCTCTCTCTTCTTTTAGGAAGGCCAGTAGACTCCAGGGTTGAACCCCTAAACTTTAGCTCTGGAGCAGCCCTATAATTGGGATCAATAGAAGCAGGTCTAGAGCTGGGATCTGCAGAATTCGGCCGGAAAGAACCAGTTGCTCCACCTGGATATCGAGAAGGAGATGCATACCTTCGACCTCGAAGACCACTGCTTCTCATGTCCGCCATATCAGCACCTCTTGTAGAGGAATCTATAAAAGACCTGTCTCCAGTGCTAGTTCCTAATGGAGCCCCACTCGTAGCCGATGTGGAGCTAAAAGGGTCATCTGGTCCCCATGAAGTAAGTGCCTCTTTCTTCTTTGCAAAGAATTGCCATGCCCCAAATAAGAAAAGTATGAAAAACAGCACAGGGCTGGTCCATAGCATCGTATTAGATTCCCCTTTCAAAATTGGCAGGTTAGAGCGATACATTCCTACATACTCACCTCCGAGACCAAGAACAACAAGCTTTTCACGATCACTGGCTATTAAGGGCATCACCTGTCTTCTCTCTTTATTTGTATCCATAACTTGATAAGTTAAAAAAGATGACCTGATCTCATCCAAACCGGCAGAGAAAAGAAGCCGTGGCGCACCAGCCCTAACATAATGCAGGGTAGAAACATTATACACAGAAACCTTTTCTGGATCAACAATAAGCAAATATCCTTTCATAGCCTGAAAAGCAAGAGGCTCATTCATTTCCAACTTTTTCTTGGACCTAACCCTGCACTTGAAATTCATGATATCACCCAGCAGCAAAACATGAATCAAATCACCATCAGATGTAAAACCATATGCTTTAGACCGCTCTATTGCATCAAAGACATAATACCGAGCAAGAGAATGATTCAACCCTTCACATTCTGATTCCTTAATTTTCATGCTTCGCAAATCCAATGACCCAGCACCAGTCTCTGTCAAGAACAAAAGTCTTTGCTTCAAGAACACAAGCGGCCTACTTGTTGGCATGGCAGAACCATAAAGTGTTCCGTTTTCTCTAAAAACCCTGATTTTTCCACTAAGATCCGTAGACAAAATATACCTCATTCTTCCAATGTAATGAACTTCCAATGTAGATATTGGCAACCCATCTTCCCCACTTTCAGCAGTCACAAGTGTACCAACGGTTTCCATTACAGGTGAACCCAACTCTTCTCCATTTAATCTTTCATAAATTCTATGGACCAAGATCACGCCATTTTGATGTCCTGTAACCACAACGCTCTCATTCTTATAAACAGACATGTATGAAACCATTGCCATAATTGGCGACTCACACTTGGTGTAAAACTCAGCCACAACATCCCCATTCCTCAAAAACACATAAATCCTTCCTCTTTCATCACCAACAGCAACATACTTGCTAAGTCCCTCGTAATCACGAAATGGCAAAACATTTATGCATGTTGCATCAGAATCTAATTTCACAGCTGACATGAATTGAAACCTCTCGGACCAAAACGGACTGTACTTAGTAACTGAAAGAGCCCTCCCTCTTCCCCCATCTCTAACACCAACTCCTTGAATATTCGCTTTAACATCATATTTTGGTTGACTAATTTCACCTTTCTTTCCAAAACCTGACCCTGAACTGTCAGCACTATGCCTGCCATCAGCTTTAGAAGACTCTGATAATTTTGATTCCAATCTAGAAACCACTTCACTAAGATTTCTTACTAATTCCTCAAGTTTATGTAATAAAACTTCATGGAGATTAAAATCAGGTGAACTAGGGCCAGGTTCATGGTGAAGAATCTGATCATTTCCATGCTCGTTTTGGACTGAGACAGAGTTAGAGTCTACAAAAGCTATAGAAAGTGGTAGAGAAGTAAAAATGAAAAGAAAAAAGAAGAGAAAAAACCTGCCTTTGTTGGGATTTGCCATTTGAAAGGAAAAGCTTGAAAACCTTTTAGATTCAATGTCTTGCCATTATAAATCAAAACCTGTCCGAGTAGCAGATCTTGTATTTTTTGGATCTGGGTTTGGAGAATTTCGGCTGGAATCTATGTTAGATTTGATGAATCTGATGTGGGAAGATTGGAGAGATGGTGAGCAAAGACACTGCTGTGAGAACGTTTTGAGTTTTGACTTGGGTTTGTATTCTGTACGACGAGTTAGGGCAAGAAATTCGGATTTCCAGCAAAAGAAAATATGTAAAATGAGTTAAATAGATTACGGTAAAAAACATGTCAAAAGAGAATGATTCAGTCAGGTTATCTTACCTGTAATTTTATTGAAACCCAATTGTAGCACGACACGTTGATTAAAAAATTGAGTACCACGTTTGACCGTATCCTAACCACATATCCTTGATGTGTTTGTCCCGCAGTTCATCTTCACCTTTTTCGATTGGGTTTGGGCTCCTAGAAAACGCAGCGTTTGGTTACTGTTCCTTTTTGCTGGGAAGCCATCAAGCCAAGAGCAACATCATTATTTAGAAGAAAAATTGGTTCCCATTTTTCCAAATAGAATTTATAACTTTATGGATAAGTTACAAATTTATTATTATAACATTATATTTATGTGGATGGTATAAATTCATTATTAATATTTTAATTAATATGAAATTTTATTGTTATATTTTAAATTTTGAAGCAAATTTACTATCATATTTTAAATTTTGAAATAATTAAAGTATATTCAATAAAAATTAAATTAGAAACCATTTTAGAATTCAAAAATTAATTTTGAAAATGATATAATTAAAAAATAATCATAAAACTAAGATCCAAATTTCTTATGATACTTCCTATTAAATATAATATTATATAATTCAATTTTTTATTTTATATTTTGTTTCATTGTAACATTTTTTACTACATATAATATTACATCATACATTTTCAATTGATTATACCGACCATTTTTTAATTATAAAATTACTTGCAATAAAATATCCTTTAATTGTTCTTAATTTGAAATATAATAATAAATTTGTTACAAAACTAAAAAAAGGATAAAATTACAACAGCTGAAAAATTAATAAAAAATTTAACCATTAACATAAATACTTAGTAAATTTGTACATTATCCCTAAATTTTTTTTTTTTTTGAAAGATTAGGCTTAGGCTATGCTTTTAACATCAGGACAGGATAGGGACCTCCAACATTTCATCCACAGGGCCAAATTTAGCAAAAGATGAACGCAAATAAATTTATCAAGAAGAACTAAGCTTTGGCAGAAAATTGCATTTTGCATGTGATATCAAATGCTCAGTGCTGAATAATCTAGAAAGTCTTTATAGAAATATTGGCTTTATTTCCTATAGATTTCTTTTCCAATTTGAATGCAGCAAATATGGATTCAGTGTGGTCAACAATACTATTACCAATGCAGTGACTTGTTTGCAGTGAGGAACGCCTTAATATTTCCAATAATTGAGCTCCTGAACTTGTTTCCATTTCATCTTTTCTGGGTTTAGAACTTGGTTTGATTTGCGAGTTGCTATTAAACTTGGCCGATGCAGTTTTCGTTGGCCGATTCTCCCTTTGGATCTGAATATGGTAAGAACCAAAACAATTTACCAAACTTCATACAGACAATAAAAAGTAATATAAAATGACAAAAGCTAGAAAAATTGCAGTGAATAAGCCTACCACATCAGAAGAATTTTCTGCCACTGTGATTGTGCTTTTGGTATTGCTGTCTTCACGTTCAAATACAAAAGAACGTAAGATGCATGATCCATGCTTGCGAGATGATGGTATGGAACAATTTGACCCCCGACCTATGAAAGATGACTGCAATAGTTACCAAGGACAAACGATACCTTTAGTTCTTGAAAATCGATATTCAGTTCCACAATCTTCCACTCATCTACACATAGGCATGTGGTCACAAAAGCAAAAGATGACTAAGATCCCACTATAGTTAAGATCTAAAACAGAGGATTCTATCATGTCTGAGATGAAAAGGACAAATGTTATCAGGGAGATAAAGGACATAGCCCTAAACAAAGGTAAAATCAGATGCTAAATATAAAAGAAGCCAAAGAAGCTTGCATAAAGAGCATTTATTTGCTTTGTTTTTGGTAGTGAAGAATGGTGTCAAATACAATGTGAATGAAGCGCACTTATCCAGCATATCTGGGAGTGAAATCATGGCAAAATAATTTGTTAGATTATGTGTGCTGAACTATAATAAGGTTAGAGGCTTCTTTTCATATATTAACTGCCACTTTATTCAAATCATCAGAGTTTCTTATAATAAATGCCAACCTACTGAAAATCCAAAGATGGAAAATAGCTTACTTTTGAGGACACATTCCCTTTTTTTCCCATGAACAGCATGTTAGAAAAGGCTGCCAAAATCAAGAGCAATGCTAATAGCCATTAGGAAATGTTATTCATAGCAAAAAAACCTGGGCTGGGGAAATGCAAATAACTTTATTGAGAAAAATTCGTTGATAAGAATCTTACATGATGTTTTGGATTTTCTTCTGGTGTCAGGCATATTATTCACCTTCTTTATATAACCATAGAGTTCTTTGGACCTTGCATCCTCTGTTGGTGGCAAAAGCTCAGCCTGCTGATTCTGTTCCATGCCACTTAATTCAGTTCCTATCTCATGATCAGAGCAATAAAGCAATAAAGATACATACTTATGGACCAGAAAAAAAGTTATTCATGCTCAAATCTAAATTTGCTAATACTCACAGCTTTCTCAGACAAGCACTGTTCAACAAGCTTTTTTTCTGCTTCCTCATCATCAGATGATATGTACATGTCATCCTTATCTGTAAACATTTGTGGTATCATTTCCTTTATCTTTTTTATATGCATGCGCAAATTTACCAGAGGTAAATCTTCTGTAGTTTCAAGAAAATCCTCTTCGTCTTCATCATCTTCCTCAAGTCCTTCCTCATCAAGCAAGGCTGTTTCTCTATGTTTTGGACCCCATTTCCACGATAATTGCTCTGTCTTAGCAGCATCCTGTTGGTCAAGCAACTTCTGATGGAGTTCCATTCGCCTTTCAATATCACTTCGCTTTTCTTCATATCCAGTGGCTATCACATCCCTAAGTTCTTCTAAATCTTCACTATCTTCATCTTCTTCGTTGCCATCATCTTGGAAGCGAAGTAAGTCATTGTCACTGTCATCTTCTTCTTCAGCTTCTTCATCAACAAATGGTTTAACAGGGTCACCATTAGGTGTTGGAGACAAATCAACAGACTCATGCAGGTAGGGATCAATGTTCTCCTTGTCATTGTCCTCCTCATCAGATGAACTACAAAAAATCAAGGTGACAAAACTGTACATATTAGAGCAAACATAATGTATGAAGACCAATGATTGATTCAATTTTTACGAGACATAATCAAAATAAGTTGCCTTCATGTATCACAAATTCATTCCAATTCCGAGTTAATTCTCATGAATAAATGTAAATCTAACTTAAAAAATAAAATGCTAGTAGGCATGTTCCAATGGCTAAACAAGAATAAGCAAATATAAAACCTTTGAAAATATGTGGCAAAACACTGATAGATGGAGTTGTCATAAGTAGTGGAAGGAAAATTCTTTACAGAAGCTCTATCCTGAGAACTAATGGTGTTAAGACTGCAGATCATAAGCCCACTCAAAGTAAATGACATCATTCTCAAAACAAATAAAAGAAAAATTATAAGACTCACATGTCATCAAGAGGTGCAGAGTCAAGCTTTAAGTTCAGAGCAAACAGGGATAGTGCCAGAACTTCTTCTAAAGGGTTATTAGGGGCCTCTTCTGCAAGCTCATCTTTAGAGTTACTTGTTTGAGAATCAGAAAATAGATCCTAGAATATTCAAAGAGACAAGCAATTAGATTCCATAAGTGGCACTTCTTTAACCAATGAGATGTGAGAGGGAGAAAAGAAACCTGAGTATCATTTATAGGAGCTCGAAACACTTGTTTGGGTTCCTCATCAACAGCCTGTAATTGACACAGGTACCACCATCAGAACACATAGAAGTCTACCCCAACATGATGCAAAGACTCATCTGAGCTTAATTTATGAGACTGAATAATCACATATAATTGAAGTATCATTGGGAGAAACATCATTCCCAAACTTCAAAAGGATGCAAGCTCATAGACATGCAATGGAAGCTTAACATCTACTAAACAATTGTTTGCAAACCTTAAGCTGACAAAATTTATGAAATTTCCAATATGCAATAATCAGATTTATTGGCAAAATATAATATGAATAACTTACAATCTTTGGTGAAAGATTCTCATGACTTGAGACATTCACAACATTCTGTATTTCATCAGAAGTCAAGGTATCTGAAATCCCATGATTTGAAATAGCCTCCTCACTTTCAACTTCCACAGCCCCATCATTGCCTCCCTCGTTAGCAACATTTTCAAATCCAAGCTCCACCATATAGTTGCTTGAATTATCATCATGATCATCAACAACAAAACAGGTCCTATCAAATGTGACAACTTATTATAACCACCTATATAAGAACTTTAACTCTTTAAGAGGACCAAGTCTGAGTCAACAAAGAGGCAAAATAAAAAAGTCAACTACTCACTTTTTTGAAACCTCAAGCTTTCTTCTTCGGATCTTTTCCAAAACTGATGATATGGGTTTTTGAACAATGGGTGCTGGTCTAAATGCAGCATCTCTAGTTTCTAGCCCAAAGTAATGCACAATTAAGGAGTTAAAATATTACTAATTCAACTCAGTTATGAAATTACAATCATAAGTTTACATAAACATAAACCAAGCTTGTTTATAATACCTCGCAGCAGTCTCTGAGATCCAGCACGAAATGGGCAAGATGTTCTCGTCTTTCCTTTAAAAAAAGGGCAACCAGATAAAAATCAGCTTACAAATAATTTAACATAAAGATTATGTTATATTGTTATTTACTAGACTAAAATTAGAGAAATATTTTTTGTACCTTCGCTGTTCTTCTTTCTGGTAACATGGGCATCTCCTCATCGGCGAGGTCTTTCACTCTCTTTTTCTTTTTCTTCTCTGTACTCTCTAAGTCATCAAAACTAGGCCGTTTCTTTTCCGATTCCTCCCTTTCCCAATCCCTAATTCCCATCTCTTGACTGTGATCTTCACCATTTCCATCAACGTCCTTGGTCATGGAATCAAAATCCAACGTGCGCTTAGCAACCGAACCCAACTCGTTTTCCTGGACACGTAACTCATCAAAGCCTGAACTCAATTCATTTTCCTCGTCAGAACCCTCGAACCTGGACCCAGATCCCTATATCGGCTGCTCAGTAGCTTGGCCGTCGGATATATCGAAATCTAGGGCTTCAAATTGGGATGGATTCTCCGCAACCGTTTTCACCTTCTTCAATCGTTTTAACCTCCTTTCTTGAACAGGAGAAGATGTGTCGATGGAAGTTGAAACTAATTCTAGATCCTCGTCGCTGTCCATCTCGGCGGCTCTTTTTTTCTCTTCGACGTAGGCGGTGAAGAAAATGTACTGATTTTGTTTACTGATACGAAATGCCGAAATGCTGGGGACTATGGATCTAGACTGGTTCCTGAAAAACTGAAACTGGAGGTAAAAGTGGATGTAATGGGATCAAGGCGGCAAACGTTTTTAAATGTTTTGGGGGCAATCGGTAAAGGGCGCGATTTGGTTTGGGATCGTTACTGAATTTAAACCGCATAAATTTGTTGTTACGGCGCGGTATCATGTAGGGCCGCATAGGTGTTTCTCAGTGTTCTTTGAAGGGCCTTAAAGGCCTCAAAATGCAACCTCAAAGTAGATTTAATAGTTCGTGAATTATAAAATATTTCAATTGTAATATCACAATTGGTGTTAATATATTAAATATATTTTTTATTTTTTAAATTCATATATAATTTTTATTAAAATTTTAATGATATCTCTTTCGCTTTTTTTATCCTTTTTGTATATATTAATTAGTCTTACCTCCATATATTTTTATTTGTGCAATAAATATTTACTTTATGACACAAAAAATATTTATAGATTTATTAATAATAATTTTGAAATTTCACTAACAAAATATAAGTTCAAACACTTTTTATGAAAAATCTGTATCCTTTTTAGAATAAGAATAAAATTATCTTATTTTTTTTATTAAAATAAAATTTGCATTCGAAAATAATTATTATAAAATATATGAAATATATATAATCAGCTCATTACAAAAAAAAAAAGCATCCAAACTGTCATATTATTAATGGAAATAAAAAGAAAGCATCTGTTGGTTGGAATCAATATGTATGCACACATATTGACGTGAACATATCTTGTCAATAATTATGATTTTTAAATTTATTTTTAAATTTTATATTTAAATAAAAATATTATAACTTACATAATTTTATCTCTAAATTTTTATTTATGTGAATTATTAATTTAAACAAAATAAATAATATTTTTAAATTTCTATAGATAAATGATAGGATCAAAATATTAGTTGTGATAGACATGTTTATCTCTTAGGATAAAAACGAAATTACATTCATTTATTTTTTTTAAAGCGTAAATCAACAATTCGTAACCTTCTGTCTCTCTCTTTCGTTCCTTCTTGAATTATTGTTTGTGAGCGTTTTTTTTTTATTATTTTAATGAACTATCAAATTTAAGAACTAACAAAATTTAATAATTTTTTAATAATATTTTTAAGTTTCCATAAATAAAAGATAATATCAAAATATCAATTATTATAGACATGTCTACCTCTTAGGATAAGAACGAAATTACATCCACTTATTTTTTTTAATGCATAATCCATCTATTCATAGCCTTTTGTCTCGTTCTTTCGTTCCTCGTTGAGTTGTTGTTTGGGAGAGTTTTTTTTTTTTTTTTTAAGTTTGAGGCATCTTAATATCGGTATAAAAAAAAACTTCTTTCATTGGCTTAAAAAGTCAACGTAAATTTGTTGATTTTCTTACAAAGCAACGATGTTTTATTTTCTATGGTTGAATTATCTAACAAAAATCAAAAGATTTACAATCAGCTTTTTTTTTTTTTTCTATTTCATTTCACTAACAGGATCATTACAAATCGAATTCAAGTTTAAAAAAAGTGAAACCTTTAAAAATATTTCGTGACAATGATTTCTACGTTTGTTTGCAGGAAATATTGATGAAGCTGTGTCCATTTTCAGGTATGTACCTAACACTTCTTTTTGTTTATTTGATGGTCAATGGTTTTTTTTAATATATAATAAGTTTGTGATTTTTTTAATATATAATAAGTTTGCGTGCAGTATCAAAATGAAAGGCTTGTTCTGTTTACTATATCATTTTCTTTCATTTTAACGTGCAATAGCAAAAGTTACTTAATATTTGGTATGTGTAGTTGTCACGCTTAACAATAAAGCGAAAAATAAAAATAAAAAAGACTCTTCACCTAAGGGAAACTATTTCTTCAATTATCTTCGCTCGAAAACTTTCATTATAGATATTTTTCTTTTTATTTTAGTGATAATCTTTAGTTTAAACCATTTCAATTTTTATCTTTAATTCAGACCATTTCAATTTCTAGGTTTATCTTAAAATTTATAGCAAAATTGGTAGCAAGTCAGATTTCTATTAGACTTTAATTTTTTCACACTAATACATTTTGAGCATGTTGATTTTCTTAAAATAAAAGTGCTAAAGCTAAAAAAATAAAAATAATGATAAGAAATTGAAAGAATGGGGACCCGATCACGGTAATCATTTATCAAATTATGCTGAGATCTTGCAAATGCATTGGCTTGGACAAATATATGCAAGCTAAACTTTAACAAGCTTGTTCTCACTTCTCAGCACATATACTTAAGCAACAAACCTGCGTGCTTTTCTTCAATCTTCACTTCACATGCCAAAACCAAAATGCCTCGTAAATTAAAAGTATCTCTCTGCATCTCTCTTTTGGATTTATATGACCGGCATATTCTCATCCTAAAAAGGGAAAACAAATTCTAACAAATACCAAGGACTTGCAAGATTGGGGACCTGATATTCATAATTTGATAAATGAGTAGTATAATTTTGGTACAACCAACACAATAGAGCTGTCATTAGCCCGGTAATCAGAAGCAAAACTATGTTTTGAAACTATTGAAGAAGCAGCTTCCAGTAAGCTGTTTATGATCCAAATGTATGTAATTCAAATATGCAAATGGATAAGACTGATGAACAGCAAATCACATTTCCAAATCCCAAGTACTTTCAGCAATAAATTTGGGGATCTTAGATTCTTCAGCTAGGTTGACGGATGCTGAAATCTAAAAAAAAAATTATCATGGTTAGAAATCACTCAGGCAAGGGATAAAGTACATTAAGTCAAGTTCTTAGATCACTACCTAAAGAGTCATCATGTCAAGAACTCGTAATAAGTTATCAAAACTAGATTTCTAACCAACAGATAATAACTCAATAGCTAACATTGCACTACCAAAGCTATCTGAAAAGGCAAGTAAGAAAAAGACTACAAATTGATTCTAAAGCTGTCTTATATAGACCATTATTAAATTAGGCAGAATTTTGTCCTGTTTCTGTGTTTTTATTAATGGTCAAAATTCGCTTCTAATTTGCCTCCCAAGCAAAGAAAGCAACCTTAGTTGGAAACTTGTCTCCCTTCACTGCAAAGGATCCTCTTGTAAATCTCAATATAGGATGTTCCTCTCTACAATACATCCATTCTTTACCATAGAACACATATGACCATCTACAATCTCCTTAGGCCGAGAAAAGTATCAGTTCACACTAATGCAGTATAAAGAATGCATCATATGACTAGCCTCCCAATAAACCACCAGAGTTACTGCCTTAAAGCAACATGACCTAACATTATCTTCGATATCATTGTTTAATTAGTTGAAAATAATGAGAAACACTGACATTTTATTTCATGCTCCAAATTCCTGTTTCATTCAATAAAAGCCTAGCCTTAAACAAATAGAAGTAACATGCACATCCAAGAAAGACATAAGAAAAATGATCAAGCAATCCAAAGCCTTGCTTGCTTCAACCTCTTCACATTTCAAGTAGCACTCCAGCAGTGAGTTGCAATGACTACATTTTATATCCTCTTCATACAACAGAAGTCTGAATCAAGACAACAGCAAATTCTATAGTGATGGGGGAATGCAAGGAAGCAGCAGTTATCTACTTATCATCCTAAGAACCACACCAGTCAGCCGTGTTTTAGAGAAGCACCCTCTTGCAGAAAATGTCTTCTCATATTCAAACTTTTTAATCTTTATATTACTTCAGCTTTCATTCTTGCACTCAATTTCTTGAACAATCCGTCCTCATATGAAATGAATAGTTCATTACCACCAAATGTTTAAACAGTTATCCTATGAACCTTAATTCACTTCTGCACTCTAAAGTTAAGATACCTCAACCATATCAATCACTAAGTTCCAGAGTTAAATTAATTAGGCTCCCTTTGCTTTCTGCTATTTGTCCTTTTTTTTTAGTTCATTCTTTATTTTTGCCTTTTTCCTTTGTATTAATAGAAGAAAAAGTAAAAGCGTGAACCAATCAAGCCTTCAAATTGAAAACCCAATTTCAGAATATAAATGGCAGATTTCAAGACTATACTATGCAATGGAAACACTCAAAATTCAGTAAAAAATAAAATAAAGAATTTTCTGGTTAGTTACCTTAAAAGTACCAGTAAACTTGGAATTTCTCGACCACTCCAAAGCCAAATCCCTGCTCACCGTCTGATACGACGCCTTAAAAACATCGTCATATACTCTCCTCGAAATTGCAAAATCCCACGCATTCTTCCCAAAATCATAAGATGGTTCGAAAGTCGTAACCCCTCCGTGCACGTAACTATACTTGAGCTTACAGTTCCTCGTACCAAGCACGTAATTAGCCGAAACTTTATTAGCAGAATCGAACGCGAGTGCCCCGTCCACTATTGTCCGGTTATCACCTCTGCTGTGAATGTAAGTAAGCTTCAAGGGCTTCTCCGCAACCCTAACTGAGTTCATAAACTGAAATCGATAATCCTATTCCAACAAAAAAAAAAAAATACAAAAAGTCGAATAATTAACAAGTCAATGATTAATTGAAGTTGTAATTAAAGGAAATTTGCTCTTCAATTTAAGCGTGCCTTTTTGGGGACGTCATAGTCGATGATGAAGAAGCCGGGTTTTTCAACTGCCAAAGTCAAACCGTTCAAGCTAGGGCCGCTGATCACCGTGGCGTCAGTCATGGAAGCGCGTAGCTTGACATCGCCGGCGTTGACGGCTAGAGTAACGGCCGCGCAGCTCTTTTCATTAGTGTATCTGCCTTTCAAAGACGCCTTCATTTCTTTCGGAAGACACAATGAACCGAGACAAGAGGGAGATGTTGGTGAACCTGTCGAGGATTTTTTTTTTTTTTTCTTTTTCCTTTAATAATTTTGCATCCAGAAAATTTTGTATTTCTTCGGCGGACCTTTTTACAGCTCGATGGCTCGAATCTTCAATTGAACCTTGGGTTTTTCCAGTGGGCTTCGTAGCAGATGATGGATTTATGAGTCAGGATCACAAACTAATAAGGCAGAACAATGGGCCACAAGCCCGTTATTTAACTTTTTATTATTATTATTTTCCTTCGCTTGTATTGTTAAATCATTTATTTTTATACTAAAAAAAATTAATAATAATAATACCCGAATAAATCCTTTAACTTTATTAAAAACAAAATAAATCATCAACCTTTTATTATATAAAATTAAGGTTATAAACTTTTTATTTCATTATAATTATATCCATTAAAACTTGAAAATTAATTAATAAAGTCTAATTGCTTGAATTTGTAAAATATCATTTGCTCAAATATGTGTTATTAGAATAAATTTAAGTATGCATTTTCCATAAACTACACCATTCAACTAAGAGGATTTAAAAAAATTAATATTTTATAATGTTAATGTTCTAATTTTAATCATAATAAATACAAATTTTATAACTTAGATTTCATACAATAAAATATTGATAATTTATTTTTATTATTGAATGAATTTTGAGTGCTTGTAAAGTTATTATTTAAAAAAATGTATTGTCTCATATGTCTCAATACTTCATCGGCATAATTAAAGAGTTATCGTATATATTGTTTAGAGTGTATTTAAATAAGTAATCTAATATATATTATATAAGAATATACATAAATAATTTTGTCACATAGGTGCTTACATAGACAATTATTTTAATGATACATAAAATAGTTTTTAAAAATAATAAGATAATTTATTTCAATTACAAATTAGATAATTTTAAATTTATTTAAATATCAAAATTATTCAACTTATAATTGAATATCAAATTAATTTATAGATATATTTTATAAATTTAAAAATATGAAACATAGATTTTATTTTTTTGATAAATAGTTTTAGTTGTTTATCAAATAATTTTATTTAAATTATTATTTAATTATCAAAATATTTCAAACATATTTAATAATTACAAATATTAAGTTTATCTAAATCTTTCAATAATCTTTTTTATATTGATTTAAAATTTTATATTTTTTAAAAATTTACGTAAGATATTAAAAGTTTAAGCAATTTTATATAACATTTTGAAAATTCAAAAAATTATCATCTTAAATTTTTAAATAATAAGACCATCAAAATGATTGTATCAATTTGAACTATAATTACCAAATTTATATTTCAAATAAATGCAAAAAAATTAATACTATCTTTATCACTTATTATATCCATTTTAAAATTTATCTATTTAATCATAATTGCTAATAAATAATTATTCTATAAATTTAAGATTACAAATGTAATGTATTATACATCAAGTTTTTAAAATTTTTAGTAATTTTTTTCCAAGGTATATTCTATTACTATTACAAATTTTTTATAACTTTTTTTCAAGATATATTTTATTGTTATTATAGTTTTCATTTTTATGATTTTTTTTCAATTTATTTTTTTCATATATTTTCTAACAATTTTCATATTTTGCATAATAATTTAATCAAGATTATTAAAGTGAAAGTATGTTAATATTTATTTTGTTATTTAATTTATCATTCAATAATATATCTTTTTATTTTTTTAAGAAAAGCATAATTTTATTTTTATTTTATATAAAATTATAGGTGTATAAAAATAATTTTTAAAAAATATCCAAAAAAAAACATAATTTTTTTCATATTGTTTTTAGAAAGTTTATTTTTTAATAATAAGTCAATATATATATAATATAAATTTTATATATGTTATAAGTTTTAAATATTGGAATATAATTTTGAAAATAAATTAATTTGTATAGATATAATTTTGAAAATAAATTAATTTGTATATATATGCACATTCATATTAAATAAATAGAATTATTTAGTATATCGCATGTGTTATAATTTATTGATTAATACAATAACTAAAAGGACATGTGATTTTTTTTTTTTCAAATAAAACTCCATCTACAATGTATAAAATAATAAAATAATAATTTAATTAGTATGAACTGAAAGAGATCAAGCTTGAGCAGTAGTCATGGGCAAATTAAATGACACGCATCAACCAGACAAATAGTATCATGTTTTCCTCCTTTTTGAAAGAATTGTATGATAGGTTAATTCAAAGGTAGACATGATCATTGGTTACATCATTTCGCATTGCTCTTCATGCACTTAAAAAAAAAAAAAAAAAACTACCGTTGCATTTGTTTTATTTAAAAATTATAATCTATTTAAATTCTTAAATTTATATCTATTTAATTGAAAAAAAATTATCTGTATAAACTTTTTACAATTTATAACTTTTAAATGCTAATTTTAATATTATGTCGAGTGATTCAAAAATTAATTTATTTTTAACTTATTTTTAAGTTGATGAACTGTTAAATTTTAACCTATTTAAACCATTAATATAATCCTGGATAAAATTAACAAAGTCATATGCAGTAATAAAAGCCTAAAGACTTGAACACTGTCATGGAACAAAGCCGTGTTTTTTCACCTTGGTAAACCATTAATATTTATTTTTTAATTTAAAATATTATATTGCTATAAAATCTTTTTTAAGTCAGCCCTCCATCACCGAGTATAAGGGGAGCTACAAAAGAAATTAATATAAACTTTCTAAAAAACAATTGGTAGTATAAGTTAATTACAAAGGGCGACGGACCATGATCACCTAAACCCGAACAAATAAGGCGATTCAGAGCGTGCGAGCCCAATTAACGCGCGAAAGCCGAATACGGAAAAGATCCAAAGTCAGAATCAACGGTAATTTTCGAAAACCACGACTTCACGATAATCATACGCGCGCGTCGTATGCAAACTCAGACTTTTGCTGCTACCCATTTCGATTTCGTAAAAGATTCGTTCAAGGCTTTGCCGCTTCATTCAGTTCCCGCCACACACAATTTGGCGCGAGTTTATAAATCCCAATTTATTTCACCAGCGAACCCTAACATTTCTCTCTTTCATTCGCTCTACCTAATACGAAACTGCAATTTCACGAGCCTCTCCTCTTTTGATCCTCTTCTCTTTATCTGGCGTTGGAAAGTCTCCAATCTCAGGTGAGTTGGTGCTCGATCTGTTTCTTTTTTCCCATTGGGTTTGATTATATAGATTTGTAAATCGGAGGTCAACTATGCAACAATCGAACTTCGTAGATCTGGAGATTATGGATATTACTTTTTGTTTTGTTTTTGTTCTTTACATTATTGTTTCAAAAATTTTCGCTAGTTATGGTATCGATTCTAAATCTGATTTAGCTTTGGAAATGAAGTTCAGTGAGCTAAGACAATAGCTTGAATAGTTTACTTTTTTTTTTTTTTCGTTCGATAAGGAATAAATCGTTTGCTTTTGTGAAATGCCTCTGAAAAGGGCAATGCACTGTTTTGTATTATTAGCTGTTGCATCGCTTTCCCATGAATTTCCGATCTTGCCAATGGAACTAGCGATGCCGGATTGTAGTTTCAACTTTGGGTGTTCTTTAGGTTGTCGATATTTTCAAAATTGCCTGAAAATTAGGGAGCGCCATTTAGCAATAAACTTTTTTTTTTTTGTGTAAATATCATATTTTGTTTTCTTTTGTCTTGTCTGTGGCGACATTCTTGTGCTCGGAAGTCATTTTCTAAGACAGACTACCTTGACATTCGGAAGTTGGTTGAGAGGGAGACCCCTTTTAGGGTCATTCATTGAGGAGTAAGAGATTTCGGATTTTCGGGCATAATTTGAGTTATTACAATGTTGCTTCCACTGTACTTTAGGCAGATGAAGACAAATCTGATATGATATTTATGTGCAACTTGCTATTGAATTTTGGTATCTTATCATTAATTTGGTTTGCTATTTTTTGACCTTCAATTTTATTGCTTTTTTTTTTTTTTTAAATTTTTTAGGATAGGATTGGAGAAATGGGAGATTCTATTTTCATGTAGAAAAGTTAGGCTTGCAATGTTATATCCTTATGATGCTAAGGTATTTTATTTTGAAATTAGTGTTAATTATGAATAGCTTCTCAAGAAATGAAAATTTAACATATTGCAGGCAAGCATTTAAGCCATCTACGCTAGTAACAACAACTATACTATTTAATGGAGCTAAGGAGCTCGACCCATTTGCATTTTGTCCAGGCCATTAAAGGTGGTTCAGTGGCAAAGTCCATGAATGTGGATACTCGTGGGCGACCTGCACTCAAATTTAAGGAAATCAAAGAAATATACAATTTAAGAGATGGCAGATATCCCCATCAAGTTCCAACAATTTGTTTAAGGGATGACTTGGAGAGCTCACCAACTGAATCTTATGTGGTCAAGGTAGAGAGCCCAGACTTCTCTTTGGTTAGAGGAATGAAAGTCAAAACTGAACCAGAAGCTTCTGATTTTAACTGCAACAATGATGGTGGTGAAAGAAATAATGAGCTGGATGATCATAGCTTTGGCAATATGACGTTGAAACAGATTAAGAACAGATGCAAAACAAAGAAAAGAAAACGCGTGAACTTTGTTGGTTTAAATAAAGAAACTGTGGAAACTTGCTCTCCTGTGAAACATGAGTTACCCAATTTTCAGCACAAGGATGATGAATATGATCTTGAAGAGCCTCTCATCATTTTGAAATCTAAACTATCCAAGAATACTAAGAGTAAGAGGAAGCCTTCGAGGAAGAGTGCCTCTGCTTCATCTCCCAATGACATGTTCATAATTAAATCTGATCAGGTTAATAGTGATGAAGGCTTACTCCAACCAAATGGGGATTGGCCTGCAACTATTGATGTTAAACTTGAGAATCCTGAGCCTGGTTACTCAGAATGCCGTACCATTTTCAGTGTTACCTCTGTTTCTGATTTTAGTTGCAGTGAGCAAGTGGATTCTACTGTTACTGTATCTTATGAGGTTCCTGAAACTACCAATGTACATATTTTGGAGACTGAGGTGCCTTATCTTACAAAAGGACCTCAATACTGTTCTCTTAATGAAGTGTCCTATGAATATAGGAAGAATTTTGAGCCCAAGTTTGATGTGGGGGTTTCTAGTTGGGAGATTGTAAAGGTAGACAATCCAGAAATAATAAGTTATGAGTACTCTGACTTGTCAGAGTTTAAGAAAGAAGATTATATCATTCATCCCCTTTCCTATGATGTCTCCTCAGGGCCAATGTCTCCAACAAAGGATTATAGCTGTGATATTCACGAAAGATGGGAAAGTAATTCTCACAAGGAAGAGATGCCATGGCAGACAAGCTGTTATAGTTCAATTCAAGTTCCTGAGACGACTATTGCTTCATTTGCTTGTGGTTTAGAAACAGGGGTCTCATTCTGTCCCATAGAAGATCCGATATGCAGTGTTTCAAATGAGGTGTCTTATGAATCTATTGAAGATGTTGGTCCTAAATTTGGTGCTAGTTTTTCTGGTTGGGAGATTGTGAAGGTAGACAGTCCAGAAATGATCAGTTACCAATGTTCAGACTTACAAGAATTTGGAAAAGAAAGTTATACCCTCTATCCGCTACCCTATGATGTTTCCTCAGAGTCAACATCTCCAAGCAAGGATTATAGTCCTGATTTGCATGATAGCTTTAAAAGTAATTCTTCTGAGCACAAGATGGCTCGGCAGACAAGCAAATATTGCCAAATTGACGTGCCTGAGATGAACAGGGATACTAGCCTCCAATGCTTGGAAAATATCAATGAAGGTAGTCCATGCTCCTTTGAGAGCAGAAGTACCCATGATTGGCCTTCTAATATTAGAAACATTGCCATCAGTCCTTCCAGTGACAATGGCTTGTATTGGGGTTCCTCGTGCATGAATCTTGAGAGACATTCAATCCCTCTTTCTGGTGATTCTCCTTCAGCAGGGAAGCAATCCCTGTCGCCTGACTCCATATCAACTAATTCCTTAGATGCTTCTGATAAGTCTATGGCATCGCCAAGACCTCTAGATTATCATCAAATGAAGCAGCAGCATTGTCCTGAAAGGCTTCTCTCAAGCAGAAAGGTGTGCAAAATATGTTGGGCGTTAAAGTGTCTACTTTTGTTCTATTGAAGTTTTTCTAACCAAATGCTTTGACTGCAGGCCATTTCTCCAACCTCTCAAGAGAGGCTTTGTCGGGCTATGGAGTTAACTGGGTTGAATGAAAATGAGCATCATCGTAAGTTAACTAAATTGGGATGTTAACTTATATGCACTGCCTTTTAAAGTGGTCTTCATGATATTGAAACTCTTATCAGTATTAATTGATTGCTTCATCATAACTTGTGGAACAAACAAGTGGTAGCCTGGTAGAATTCCAGGAGAAACATATGTTTTATGAGCAAAAGTGAGCCAGGAAAAAGTATTATTAAAATGGAGTTGTTCCACTATAACTGATATTATTACTCTTTCATGTTTATGCAATTGACTTTTAAGCGTTTAGAGCAAAAAAATTACTGTGGCTAATGGAGAAAAAAAAAGAGATTTTGTTGATATTATGTCCAATTAATTCTTTCCATATAATTTATGTTCATTCTCAAACATCTAACATCTTGCTTTTAAATTAAGAAAGCATCAGAAAGCTGAAGAAACTTGTTGATTCAAATTTTTCATGATTTACAAATGCAAATTAAGCAAAACTAGTTTTTTTTTCTCTCTAAAATATTACTGAATCATGCCTGTTTTATTTATGGAGACTAGTTTATTCTTTTGCATTCCATATCTGCTTGATATTGATTGGGTTGTGATACTATCAGAATGTAGGGGGAAGCTATATTTTGGTAAACAGACCAATCATAGAATTTTAAGAGCTCAAGGACTTGACTGGTTCAGGAGAGATGGAGCCACTATCACACCAAAGTCAATCATGGGAAAAGCAAAACAAGATAAGAAAGTGTCCCCTCCTAAAGGCATTCTCAAGGTTACTCATCCTTCTCGTTCAGTACAATGTGTTAGTGGTGCATGCACCACTGTCCAACGTTGTTCACAAAGTGCGATAGCATTCACACAGCGACAAATGCGGGATATTGAATCTTTAGCAACTAAACTGACAACAGAGTTGAAGTCGATGAAAGACATTGTGAAGGGAAAATTGCATTTGGAGTTGGAGGCCCCTGTAGCCACAGCTGCAAAAGAAAATGCTGATGAGGTGTGTTTACTGTACAACCTTCTTGCTTATCATTGAACAAGTTTTAACACATAACTTTGTTACAGTTCTTTTTTCAGTGGCTTCTTCCTTTTTGAAGTTTCAGTAATGATATACATGTTATCTTTTAAATTGTCATTCATATCTGGGTAGATGCATGAAGTTATATATCTAACTAAACTTGACTACTCTGGCAGGTCAGGATAGCCATTGAAAATGCAACAAGAGCTGAAGAAAAAGCAAGAAAATGGCTTGCTATGATGACAAAAGATTGCAACCGATTTGTTAAAATCATGGTATATTTCTCTTTTCATATTGTTGGAAGCAGAACAAAGCTAAGAAGAATTATCAGTAGATTGGGATAGAGGGGGTAGGAGATAGATAGGATTGCAGAAGATTTTAGAAGCAGGAAGAAAGTATGCCTTATGAGTTTTAGTGATTATTTTCATGGTTTAATTGCAGAGAATGACTGAGGAAAATGCTGCTGCTTCTGAACGTGTAATCCTCAAAGAAAGGAAGATTACTTTTGCTGATGAGGCTGGTGGAAAGCTTTGTCATGTCAAGGTTTTTAGGGATGACATGGGCACAGCTTCTTTACTAGAGTCTGGCAGTTAAAACAAACAGACTACTAGTTGAGTAGTTATGAGGCATCTCCTGTTTGTATATTTACATCTTTAAATACCCTTTTGTTCTCAAATGCCAATTCAATTCCACCTTGAAGTTCAGCAAATGAATACCACGACTGTGATGCCATTGAGGATTGTTTTCACTACCTGCATGAGTGGAATAGCTGTAAGTCTATAACATTGAGTTTCCTATCAGCCAGAAATAGGAGATTGGCATCTGTGGAATGAAAGTTAAGGAAATTGGAAGGAAATAAGGTACTTCATATCTAACTTAAAGCCTTCATTTTTGGCTGCGGCAAGGGTGATTATTTGTTTTCAGGCTACTTAATTTTTAGATATTTTGCTGCTGTCGTTGGTCGTGTTCATTTTTTTATGAATGTTGCATTATATTGTGTTAAGAATGGATAGGAAAGGGCTCTTCTGCAACCTATTTTCCATTCTGAAGTCGGAACTCTTGGGGTTGGCATGTATGCTTTTTTTTTTAAAATTACTTTGCTTAAATCTTGCTGTCCTGCTTCCTTCATCTGCATGGCTAGCTGACGAACTGGAAACTGTTACTAAGGTCATTTTACATCAGTGTACCACCAAATTCCAGCCACTAAACATGGTGAGTCTTATTGCTTGTTCAAATTATTTTTGTTAATGTTGTTTTCTCTTTGTCGTGAATTAAAAGACTGGTGCATCCCATCATGCTAGGAACTTCTTTTGAGTTTTGAAAAGAAAAATTTTCAAGCTTGGATTTCTTGCCCATTAAGAAATGTGTGTATGTATATAAATATTTATGTAAAGTGATCAAAATTCGTTCATTCATTTCCTTTCAGTTCAAAACAAATACCTTAAATGCTTGAAAATGATGGGATAATTCGATGCAAAAGCAATTAAATTGGAAATTATTTCCTTCAAACTTCTTTTCCATGCATGGAGGGCAGGCTGGATGGTTTATTTTCAGCTGACTTGACTCAATTTTAAAGGTAACCTAATGAACCTCAAAGGTCTAAAAAGCAGGACTTGTTTATTTTTTTCATCAAAATAACTCAATATTTTTTTATGGAAAATATCGAACATCTCATTTAAAACATAATTTAATACCTTTTTATTTCAGATTTTCAACAATCCATGAATAAAGAATTACATCATATATTATTAATTAATTGTTTAATTACTGATCATAGGACATTCATGGGGTAATCACAGAACAAGGCTTCCCAAATTTCGGTGAAGGCCTCCACAATAATTCCATGGTATTGCCTTGAATTCAAAGAAAGAAAACACTGCAACAGCTGCTCTAAATCCTTTGGCTCAAACATCTGCTTCTCCAATATCATTTCCAACATCGAACTCTTAAAGTCCTCATAAGGATCCTCCGATTTCTTCACAACCGCAACGCTCCCCCTCACCTTTCCTTCCGCCGTGCTCGGCGGTGTCATCATCCGCCGCAACATTGAACCTCTCCCTGGAGTTTCATTTTCCAAGGGCACATCTCCTGTCTTTGACTTTGAAACGTTTGGTTTTGATGATCCTCTGTGTTTCCTTGACCCAAAGCTTCTCAGTCTCTTCATTTTCTTTGTGTTATTTACTTTTTTCTTGTTCTTTTTGGTTTCCATGTGGGAGTCCTCAGCCAGTGATTGATCCAACTCAAAGGATGAATCATCCGAGAAGCTTCTTGAAGTAGAGATTAGGGTCTCAGTCTCTTCATTTTCGGCTGCTCCTTCGCTACTGAAACATCCACTGTCACGTGATGAAACACTTGCAATTGCCTTCACTTTCTCCATCTTGATCTTTTCCTTCTTTTTGACCTCGGATTTGCTCACTAAAACCGGTACTATATCTCCATTACTCTCATCAGAAAATGATTCTTCATTTGTCTTCCTTTGAAGCTTGGAATTGTGGGCTTTTGTCACTATATGCAACCGAGTTGCTTCTTTCTTCCACGAGTTGTCAGGTGACTCAAAACTAACGTCCGGAGAAAAGTACTGAGTCAATGCTCTTCCTCGGCAGCCGCAGTTGACTGATGCTATCTTTGGTGACAGATGGCGTTTGATAAAAGAGTCGTCTGGTGTCGACGGAGGCGGGCCAGGAAAGTTCGGATAGCTAATATCTAATGCTTTAGGATTCACCGGAGATAACCGGTGAATTAGCGGGCCTGGATTCTCCGGCAAATTGAAAGCTTTCTTCGATCGACACAGTTGAAAAGAGGGTATAACACGAGAAAATTTGAACTTGAAACGTTTAGCCATCTCCGAAAACTTTGGTGGTTCTCTGTTTACAAAGTCCTCAAGCATTCAGCGTCTAAGACAATTATATAATAGAGAAAAGGCCGGCTATATAGAAAATAATAAGATCTATATTTCCAATTTCCCACATAATTAACTGACCAAATCTAAGTGATGATATCAGTTATTTACACTCTGAAAGCTACGTAAAATTCTTTAGTGAAACGTTGGGTTCGAAAACGTCTGCATATTAGGTGGGTGGTCAATGTAAAAAACATCAGCTTTTGCTTTGTAAAATTCTACATTAGCGAGAGTCTCTCTCCCTCTCTTTCTCTCTCTCTAATAAGCTTGACAGATTAAGTGAAATCGTAAATTTTCAAATGGGTTATTTGTATTGTCTTGCTTGTTTTAATGGTAAGATCGCTCCAACCCCAAGGGGAAAAGGTTGAGTTTCTGTCGATTTGTTCTCAACATCATGACAAATAATGGGGAGTAATTACTGGAAGTGAAAGCTTTCCTTCTAGATTTATGGTGCAAATTAAAACGGTCACAATTAGCTTTTAAATGCTGACACAAACTGATTTGAGCAATTTGATCGTAACTTTGGACCATGAAACGTGACACCATAGCAATCACTGGAGCTTTGAATCAATGAGAATGTATAACTAGCCACACAAACTTGAGGCCTTCATTATATTAGAATTAAACTCAGGCAAACCTCATATAAAAACCCAAGAAATTATTCGCTCTTCTTTCAACAAATTACCATGGGATTTTCAGATGGAATGGGAGGACTTGACAGAGCAAAATGGTTGTACCCAGCCGTATTTTGAAGCATTCCACGGAAGCCCCCAAATAGAAAGAGGCTAAAAATTCAGGGCCCCCAACGTTTTGTCATGAGTGTTTTATGAATTCTGCCTTCCGTTTTCACTCAAGGACTTTGCTGCAAGGCATGTACGATATCGGCATTAGTATGACACGTGGACAACAAATTAAACACTAAAAACAAATTGGAAAATTCCACTACATGCACACGCGTTTTGAAGTTTTTGACTAAAACTAATTCTGGCTGGAGAACTTTTGAGTAAGCTCTTTCTAACTCCGTATCAACGGCAGACAAGATACAGGACACCATGGGTTGTTGTTGGTTTAAGATAGAGCCCCTAGGCCCAAAGTTCCTGACCAAACAGAATGAGCTGTAGGCAGTCGTTTTTTAATGGACCATTTTCATAATTGGGGCCATTGCTACAGTTTTAAATTGACTAGTTATCAACGCAGGTAATCAGAGAATTTGGTTGGATTCGTAGGAATTTGATGATCAAATAACTTGTTACTTTGATGGATAGGAGATCTCAAATTCCAAGTTCAAAACATATTAAAATAGGAGTTGCTTTATCCTCATATTTTTCTCATAGGTATTGGTATTCAATTTTATGGCATCTCTCTAGGATTTCAATTCTTTTCAGGTAGGATCCAAGGCGAGAAATTAATGAGGTTTATTGTCTATACTTGAATTTTAAGCCAAGTTTCTTAATGGAAACATAATTATCTATTAGTTAGATATCCATGTGTGAAATATGAATCCACTTTTTTAATTTATATTAATAGCGATGTGGTCCATGCAAAGTTGGAGCTGGCCTATCAAGTTAATGTTTCAAAATGCCCAATTATTTGGTGGTCATGCCAAGGTACTAAATCAAACAGAAATTCAGGTACAAGGATTTTCCTCGTTTATTTTTCACGGGGTCGTCAACTTTCAACAGGTTTCATTTCATGTAATATAATAATCACCTGTCTCTCTGATTGCTAGTTTGCCATGTTGCAGCCTAACCTCTCCAATTACAGCCTGCTATTCAAGCTGATTGATTTCATTGCATGCAAAAAATGGGAATCCATTTGAGACCACGATTTTTCCTAAACATTCTGACTGCTCTCCCCTGCTGCTGCTAGAATTTTTTTTTCCCGACTCAAGGTATTTTTTAATTTTAATTCTTTAAATAGAGTATTATTGAGTTTTATTTTAAAATAAAGGTATTTTCACTTGAATAAAATCCACGTCAGCCATCTACCAAATCCTAAAATTAAACGTATTACGTACCGTTAAAATCGTGCTTGCACGACGAGACCTACGCGCAAGGGGCACCTCAGGCCTCAAAAATCTTCCTCAAAGCCAAATCTCCTATTCTATCTCATTCCAGGAGATAATCAACTTAATTGAGAACGCAAAAGGAAGAGGGTTTCCATTCGAACAACGTCAAGCTTAGAGCCTTTGAGGGAAAGAGAAAGGAAAAATCTTTCTCTTTCCAAGGCTCCTTTTCCTCTTTCTCTCTCATTTTCTCCATTCTCGTTTTCCTCCTGTTTGGAGCCTAATTTTCCATGATGATAAGGAAGCTGTGTCCTAATCTTGATAAACAAGATGGCCTGGAAACCGTCCTGGAAGTGCCTATACCCGAAGAGATGTACACCAAAATGGGTAGCAATGCGGCTTTACGGTGGCAAAATATGCGTGCTTTAATGAAAGCTCAATCAGCTTTTGATAAGTCAACCCATCTCCAGGCTAAATCAGACAATGAGTTCTTGGCTTTGCTTAAGATTGTTGGTGCTCCTCTCATCCCTTGTCAGGTCCAATTAGAGAATTATACACTTTCAAGTCCCCTCAAAGATTGCTCTATTGTGAGTACAACTCTCCCATATCTTCCTTAATTCCAAGAATTCTATATATGTTCATGAATTCATATGAACATCAATAACAAGACTCTTGTTGTATAAGTAGGAATCTTCTACCGCAAAATATATAGTAGAGCAGTATGTAGCTGCTACCGGAGGACATTTGGCATTGAGTTCAGTGACAAGCATGTATGCAGTGGGACAGGTGAAAATGCAGGGTTCAGAGATGCAGCAGGGTGATGATAGCGTGCATGCCAGAGGCAATTTTGAGGTTGGCGGGTTCGTATTATGGCAAAAGAACCCGGATTTGTGGTATTTAGAACTAGTTGTCTCTGGTTTCAAGGTTAGTGCAGGCAGTGATGGTAAGGTTGCTTGGAACCAGTCGTCTTCACAACCCGGTCATGCAAATAGAGGCCCTCCACGACCCCTACGCCGATTCTTCCAGGTACTTTACTTCAGATATATAGTTTGTTTGTTGTCTTGACGAAATGAATGTGGCTGACAAGATGTTAAAAAGACAAGAAAGTTAAACAAAAATCAGTCATAGAATCGGATTCACGATTGTGTGGGACAATGACAATTCCTGAAATTTGTGAAATCCATAACTTCAGTCTTTTTGTTGGCCCAAAGATTTTCTTCTTTTGATTAGTTCTTTAATCAAATCAAACACATTGTCAAATCAGAGAAGAGCATGACAAGAACATTTATCATCTGCTGCATTGAGTTTAACTTCCATGATATTCACTGTGTGAATTCCTAAGGGATTGGACCCCAGGTGCACAGCTAGCTTATTCTTAGATGCAGTTTGCATAGGAGAGCAGGCAATTAACAATGAAGATTGTTTCATACTCAAGCTTGAAACTGCTTCAAACGCCCTCAAATCTCAAAGTTCAGCTCAAACAGAAATAATCCATCACACAATCTGGGGATATTTCAGCCAAAGAACAGGACTTCTTGTCAAATTAGAGGATAAGAAGCTGGTCAAGATGAAGCCCCCCAATGGAAACGACAGCGTATTTTGGGAGACCAGCGTGGAATCTGTGGTTCAAGATTACAAATACATTGATGGCATCAACATATCACATAGTGGAAAGACTATGACAACACTTTACAGATATGGAAAGTCACATAACCACAAGAGGAAGATTGAAGAAACTTGGAGGATTGATGAGGTTGATTTCAATATTTGTGGGTTGTCCACCGAAACGTTCCTGCCTCCAGCTGATCTCAAGAGAGAGCAAGAAGAGCAATGATAAGCTAGATTTCCTTTATATATATATATATATATATATATATTTAGGGGCTAGAAGTTAAAACTCAAAGAAAAGTTAAAGAACAATGCGTGTACATATATATAGGAAAAATTTGAGAATCGCTTCATTCTTTCAAGTCTAGTTAATTAAGCTTACTGAATTAAACAAGACAGATCATTATTTTTGCGGGTTGATTGTGTCTTCAAAAACCGTTCAATTCCCTGGAAACAGTTAGAACACTTTCGAGTTTGTGGAATAATATTTTATTTTATTGTTTTGGGTCAAAAAACAATATACATATTTTGGTATTATAATAATATTTTGTGTACAATAAAACATTTTATTGTGGAAATGTTAAATTCAACATAAAATTAAACCAAACTCGTATATTATAAGATTTGAACCTATAATTTTAAAATATTAAAATATTTCCTTTATCATTAAATGAAAAACTTCATTAAAAAGTTTATACTCTTAAAAGAAGGCAAAGTTTTTAATTCCTATGCTTTTAATAACTTGCTTGACTTCCTTAGCAAGATCAAGTTTAATATTCTTTTAATAAGTTGGACTATTTATTCTCATTCTCACGCGATCGGCCTTTTTTCCGCTCTCAAAACACTTTCATGTTCGTACTCAAAATTAATGTTACCCAGCCGCCTAGTGTAGAATTGGTCAAAGCCCAGCAAGGGAGTCACGAACCACTCTTCAACTGAAACAAACCCATCAAAAATGGGCTATTCCGTTTAGGCCCAGCTTAAAACAGATCTACGTGTAAGCCCTTGTCGGCCCATCTCCATTAAATTTTAATATTCTGGGATCATTTGGGCCAAAAGCCCTAACAGCCCATAATTTTATCAAAAGGGCCCAAATAAAAGTCGCCGCCGACTCAAACATTCGACTCGACACTTCTCAAACCCTAATTCCTGTAAACTCTATTTAAACTTCTAATGTCCAGTCTTCTTCCTCAACTCCCCGCCTCCTAAGATTTAGCTCTCCTTTCTTTCAGATTCGTTGTATATAATTTTTTTTCTTTTGATCTGCTTCTCCGATTCGATTTTCCTGGAAATTTCCATTTTAATTTTTTTTTTTTAATTTGGATTTTACAAAAATCAAATTAAAAATTATTTTCTTTGGTTGCATCTGTTTTACCCTCTCCTTTTTGTAGCAAAAAAATGAATAACGCTAAAGGAGATATAACGGAGGCAGATATTGAAAAGGTTAGCTTATCAGCCCATCGCATTTTATTTCTTTGCCTTGGTGTCAAATGGACTTACCCATATTTCTTTTTTTTATTAAAAAATTGTTGCTTTTTTTGCTTTTTTATTGTTAATGGCAAGAGATGAATATTTATCTTATCCTTCTTTCTGATGAACCCTGGAGATTCTAATTTCCGCTTATTGATATTCTGATGCCCTTTTTTTTTGTGAATTTATGCTTTGAATTTGAAAGTGAAGGCAAATGATGTAAAATTTCTTATCCTAAACACTGAAACATGAATGTAGACTGATAAACTCCGCTTATTATCTGATGCCTTGGCTTTTTTTGGACTAAAGCTCGATCTTTTTCTACCCTTTTTCAGTTTTTTGTTTATAAAGTTTTAAACTTTGATTTTTTTTTTATGAATTGATGATTTGGAATTTTCAATGATGAGAAGAAGCAGACGGGCGGTCTGAATCTGATGCCATGTTGTATGTCTGCAATTTTCCACTTGTGGAATTTCTCTGAGTTATTAATTATTTCTCTGTTTTCTGATTTTCCTTTTTATTTCATGGTTTGAAGCTGAAAATAAATCTTTACTTCTTTATGCAATGATGAAGTTGCTTTAATTATGTCTGGACATATGAGTTAGCCTATGATAAGCTTATGCATCTTCTGAGCAATGCTGTAGTATCTATCTTTCTATATGATTCTATGTTGAAATTTAACTCTTGAAAAAGATTTAGATTTTCAAAGGTTTTACTTAAGTGATGGCTCTTGATTTTACCAGGAATGTCTCTTGAGGGTGTAGTAAATACTTGATTTCTGGTTCTTCATGGTAGACAAATGTCACCTGATTTCTTCTGTACTTGTCTTTGATAATTGATAAGCATCTAAAGTTCTGTTATCAAGCACCCTAAGAGTATTGGTAATTTTTCAATTATGGAAAATTATGTTCATTTTTCAATTATGTAGAAGTTATGGAAAGTTATAATCTAAATGCAGTTGTTCAATTATTGTGGTCATTTTTCTCGCTTTGGATGTAGATATTTCCTTAAATAAATCTTAACAAGTGCTCTTATGGAACTTGTTCTTACTAAACTGTGTTTGTACATGGATTTAAGGGAGAACGTATGTGTTTGCAAAGACCTTATGACCATGTTGGTGTTATCTAGAAGTTTTTTTAGGTGAAGATTGTAAGATTGTTGAGACTTTTACAGTTTCTGTCGATCTGCCCCACTGGATTTTCAGCTTTGTATAATCTTTATCAACATCTATGTTTGGCTGGGTCATATGTTTAATTCTAAGGCAATCCTGAGATTTGTTTTTTTCTGGTAACAGAATATATGAAGTGTTGATTAGGTTAATGAAAAATTGAGCGGCAGTAGGGTAGGGAACCTCTGCTATGGTACTGCCCACTCGGCCAAATGAGCAGTAATGCGATTGTGGATAAATTTTATCGCTTTAAGTTTTACCATTTTGTTTACTCAAACAGATTGGAATGTATTTTAATGGTCTTCTATTAATGAATTATTGATAGGAAAACATTATTTACACACGCACTCAAGCACGCTTCACGCTCATCCTAAGATTTGTCCAACGGGTCACATTTGTCTCATCGCTTTGATTGATTGTGTTTGTTTAAACTAATCATTACAAAATTGATGTTCTAGTTTGATATGCATTGGGTTGATGGCTTATTTTACTGACCATATCAATAAAATGTAAATCTTCACTCCAAAAATTTGAACAGGCAGTCACTAGCTGAAGGCACTATGATGCAGAAAATGTGGGTTTAAAATCTTTGCTAATCTAAAAACCCAGGCTTTACCGACGTATGGGGGCGTGCTCCCTAGTTGGAATCCTAACGGTGGCTGCTGGTAACTGCTGCTTAGCGCGTGGAATCCACAAGACAACAACTGTTAACTCTCACTGTTGGATAGGCATTATGGGGCTTTGTGGGGCTGGGATGCTCTTCTATAGAACACTGGACCTGGGTCTTTAAATCTTTTAGTTGAACTGGATAGCAAAGTAGCTCTAACTCATACCTGTAGCTGTAAACATGAGACAAAGCCTGGCCCATATAGGGCTGAAATCTTCTGGTTTCTAGTGACTTGTACTACGACCCTGAAAGGGTGAAGCCGTGAAGGTAGTTAAGCAGGGAACAAAGATATGTCCTTTCTTCTTGCAATTTTCGTATAAACAATTACTTTATCATTGTCTCAAAACCACCAGTTAAAAACAGACATTGACTAAGACATCAGCTTTGTTACTTGAGGTTGTGTACGGAAAATAAGGACAATGTAATGTTCTTCGAGATTACGCTTTCCTTACTTGGAGTTCGTGGTTTTAACTTTTTGTTCACTTACAGTATTAGCTTGAAAATATAGGAAAATTTTCTTTAGATCCCTAAAACGATATTAATACTAGTAAGTAGTATTCATTAAATAAATTCTTAGTTAAATTTAATGTTAATTTGATTACCACAAATCTTTTCCTCCCATTACAGTGACACTTCACCGACTTTCTGCTCTCTCTCTCTAAAAATACCGACAACGAATTCTGTTCTCTACTCTCTTACCCTTCACTGCTTTTTTAGCAAAAAAAGGGAACTTCTTCACAATTGTGGTTGAGAGAGCTGAAAATGAAGGACCAAGATTCACCCACAACACTGTCAATTCCAATGAGTTCACCGCAACAAACAACAGGTAGTGTTAAGAAAGATAGCCCTGTAGCTGGTTTCTTTGGTAAAAGTGGATATAAATTCTGGGTATTGGCTGCAACTCTCTTGCTTGCTTTCTGGTCCCTGTTTACTGGCTCTGTTTCTCTCAAATGGTCTTCTGCTAATCTTACTAGATTCTCTGATGACAATCATTTTTCTATCCATAACGATCTCGACGTCCTCGTAAGCAATCAATGCTTTCCTTTTTCTCTTTGCATTTCTTTTGTTTAATTTTCTTGGTTTGTTGGTTTTGGATTGACTCGTTTTGTTTAATAGGAATTGGAGGAAAGAGAGAAGGTGGTGAGGAAGATGTGGGATGTTTATACGCATAGCGCTAGCGCTCGTTTGCCAAGGTTTTGGCTTGAAGCTTTTGAGGCTGCTTATGAATATTTATCAAGTGATGTTCCTGGAGTTCGAGAAACTGCTATGTCTGAGATTGCTAAATTATCTATGCCCTCCCTAAATCTTGATTCGGCCTCAGCTCAATCAAAGGTTAGTCTCAGTCTCTTTTTTTTGGTTGATCTTTTTATATGATTTTGATCTGCCTCGTAGCCTTGAAAGTGATTGAAATAAAGGTTAGAGCTTGGTTTTTTTTTTTTTTTTTTCTCCTGGTAAAAGAAAACAAGAGAAGGATTGTGTTGAATTTTTCTTCTGCGTTTTTGTGGGTTTTTTTTTTCTCGTCGAGTTCTGTTTTAGACCTTTTAGTGACTTGAAATTTGTTATAGGACTTTCTATTGAAGTTTGAAATCTAAAGATTTGGAGAATTTGAGTGACTGTTCTGAATAAGGATTAGGATCCAGCAATTCACTGAAAATGGTTTATTTTAATTTTTCCATCAACCAGTTTGTAGATGTTGGATTTTTTTTAATGATTAAGGTTGCTTTTGTTTTCCTCTCTTCGTTCCCTTCAGATTTAAGCAACATTTCCTGGAAATTTACAGATTCCAAGATTTGTCCATATTAGATTCGTTTATAGTATATTAAAGTAGACGTCTGTCTCCTAACAGAAAATCAAATCATCATTGCTTTTTCTCAAAAGGCAGCTTGAAAAGTTTTACTAATGACTACTGCTTTTGCAGGGCACTAAATATGCTAAATCCATCATTTTTTTCTAAGGTTATAGGGAAAACCCAAGCAGAAGTCGAAAGATTTGAAACTGAACCTGCAGGATCAACCCCAAAGTGGGGACATGAGCCGCTAGGCTAAACCCATCATCTTAACCTAAAAATTTGGGGCGGTTAATTACTTTCTGCAATATCAAGTTTGCAATGTTGAAACAAAGTTTTCTCTGCTGTGTTAAGATTGTAAACAAATCATTGCTCAATGTATCATGTGACAAACAGGTTTCTCATATTTGTCATGTTGTTATAATATCCAGAGCAGCAGTCGAGGGATAAAGACTTCCAAACAAGCTAATGAAAAGAAGATAGCTGCAGCTAGGACTACCTTATAACTGGAATTTCCAGTCCAGTCCCAGTTCGCACCTAGCAATATCTCATACTGCTTCAAGTTCAGAGGAAATAGCAATTAGCTGGTGTCCAATTTTACCTCTTCCATCATTGAATAAGTCGTTGGAAGCTTGAAGTCTTCGGATGGAGTTTTCTAGTATTAGATTTAAAACTGTAAAAAAAAAAAAAAAAAGTATTTGTTGTCAAGTGGAGGGCAGGAAACTTCAGTGTGAACCTGCTGGACAAAATGGAGGAACAAAATTTGCCTCGTCCATTGTACTGATACCTTTTGTTTCGGGTTTGCGAGAAATCAGTATTTTATTGTATCCTTCGTATCTGAAATTTCTAGACGGATGACCTGATTGGTTGGTGAAAGAATTCATCTAAACACTACCACATATAAGAGCATCATCACCTTTTTTGTGATCAAAGTTTAGACTTGCTATCATAATAAAAATAGACGACTTTACCGCATTTGACATCACAAAATTGCTTGAGCAGATTCTATTGCTGCTGCTGTTGCTCTATAAGGAGGTAAAAAAAGAAAGAAAAAGAAAAAACCCTACCTGTACATAAACAGTTAAGCCAAATGTATTAAAACGAGACATCTCAAAAATATTCTACCGTCTGAAACTCATCCGTTATGACGTCTCTAAAGAAGTCACAATTATCAATCTTCTACCGTCTGAATCTCACCCATCATGATGCGGTTACTGACGACATTAAATCCCAAAACAGCCGGGCTCACCTTCTTTCCTTTCTTCCCCTTCTTCTTGCCTCCTCCCTTCGAAGACCCATCTAGATCGACTGCAAGATCTTGGTCAAAGTCAGCAACGCTTATATCGCCAGAAATCACATTTCCGGCGCCCAACTCCATGAACTTTCTGTCATGTCCACTTTGAAAGGCAATCTCAAGCACGTCAGCTGGTAACAACTCCTTATAGTTGAGAAATTTTTCAATGAACTCATGATTAGGATCATATGATCCAAGGTTCTCTACTAAAAGTATCTCAGCCTCAGACCTAGATTGCTTCAAACAATATTCCAAGAAACTCGTATCTAGCAAAGAAAAAAAGAAAAATGACACAACATTAAAATGTCATAAATCAATGAGTATTCAACCAGCTTTATATCTAGAAAACTTAATTTACAGATTCACATAACTAGAAAAAGGACAAGCAATTATTAGGACATCATCATACACTGAAAAGTGGAGCTGCAATTGAAATTTTATGTGATCAACACTTTTCCAAAAGAAAACAGGATATACAACCATTGTCTTCTACCTAAAATATGCATAATTTGAAACCATATAGCAAAATACCATACCGTTTGTCCCAATAAGCCTAACACACTCGCTCTCACACCAATCCTTGAAATCCATAGCCTCTGCATAAAAGTTAAATGCATATGTGACATCATTTTTATGAGACGTTGAAAACAACTTTTTGTATGAAGACCATTACTCATCTTAGGATGACTTACCAGAATGCCTGGTCAACATATCCCTTTTCCCCTTAAGGGAAGACCGAGTCGAGGCAGGAGAGGATGACAGAGTGCGCTCAATAGGTCTGCCACCCGCGGACTTCTGCCCGCTTAATGACCCACTAGTAGTTCCTTTAGCAGGAGTACTTTTTGTTCTCCACCCGCCCACGTTTGCTAGAAGTGGGAAATCAGGTCTGTTTACAACAAAACATAACATTCATATCTCCATTTAGTGATTAATATTGAATCTCATTAAATATTAAGTTAGAAAGGATAAACATTTTTACTTTTCTTTGTGTGCAAGGATGTATTATTTACAAAGTGGCTTCATATAGGAGTAAAAATGGCAAAGAGAGTTCCCATACTGAATCCAAAAGTTGGGATAATTATTGTTAAGTTGCAGTCAAAATCTTAATTTTCTTTTTACTAGAAGAAAATCACCCTCTGACCACAGTACTTAGCTGCTCTGGATAACAAGGTGTTGCAGAACAGGATAGCTTACAAGTGTGTTATCTTTGCAGACTAGAATGCAGTTGAAATAAAAAGAGAGAGACTCATCTTTCCAACTCACTCTAGCAATTGCACGAAAATATTTCACAAGAGAAACATTTAATGCATGAGGGTGTGCGTGTGTTTTCCTTTTTTTTCCCCCCCTCAAAGGGGGAGGGGGGTGGGTAGGGGAAGAGAACATACTGCTTTGTTTCTTGCTTTGTCTGATCAATTGGACCCCAGAATAGGTCATCATCTCCTTTATATTTTGACTGAGAAGATGCATGAGAATTTATCTGGATGGGAGATGCAGCCTTTGATGGTGAAGATGCAGTGATGGACCATGATAAAACACCACCATCAGTTGACTGACTTGGTTGGGATTTCTGAGGAGTTGGTGTTGGATTTGTGTGCTGGACAGAGGAATTCCTCTTCTGCTCCTTTTGTATGTCCCTTAATGACGTGGGTTTAAGAAGTTTCTTAGAATCAGCAGACCATGCTGGCGCAGGGGAAGGGTTTACTTGCTCCCCTCTCCAAGGAACAAAATCTCCCAAAGAAGGACCTGAAGGAATTGAAGGCAATACTTCCTTCTCTGGTTGTGCTGGTCGAGAACTTTTGCCTTTCTCAACAGGACTTACACTAACAACAGCCACATCAGTAGCATTAAGAGGACCCGATACCTTTGCTCCGGTGCCCTTTCCTTTGGCAGACCTTTTACGACTCTTTTTAGTTTCCTTAGCCTCAACAAAGTTGTTGTCATCAATAGGTTCCACATTTGTGGTGGTATCGTGCGCAGAAGATGCACAAATAATGTCAGGAGCATCTGCATCTCTTTCGCTGGATTTTGCCAAAACTTCTTCTGCCAACAAATCATGTAATGGGCTCTTTTTACTCATTGGATTTGCAGAACTTTCAGGTTTCACAACAGCTGACTCAGCAATATCTGCATCTCTTTGACTTTCTCTAGAAACTTTGGGTTCTAAACTACTCACAACCCCAGCCCATGGAGTTGACAAACTCATAGAGTTGACAGAAGAAGTAACCTCTGATGCTGCCATTTCAATTAGTGCCTTCCTTTGTTCTTCCTGTTGGATTTCCAATAATGACTTTGCCTTGAAACCAGGAGCAGGTTTCCAAGCATGTACTCCAGGCTGCGTGGATGTGTTCTGCACTGGGAAAGAACCAGAAAGTCTGGACTCACCCTTGAGTTCTGTTGTTTCAACATCACCCACACCAACATTAGCAGCTGAAGAGCTTTTGGCATAGTGAGAATCCCTGGGGGCAATTCTTGATTTGTTCTCTTCTGTCTTTCGTGGAGACGTCCCATTAATATCATCTTCAGCAGTGTTAGTGTCACCAATATCCAGCTCTTCAGTTTCAGATGGTTTCAGTTGCACCAAAGAGGAAGCTTTTGAAACTCCCTTTGCCTGGTCAGAAGCTTGTGATTTACTAGATTTTTGCTTTCTAGACTTCTTTTCCGAAGCTTTTCTTACCTGACGAGCTTCAACATTCTTAACTTCTCTCATTACAGAAGGCTGATCATTGCTTCTTTCTCTTTCAACTTGCAGCTGATCAATAGCACTAGTTGGTTGAATACCCTCATTCATAGGTGTATCAATTTTACAGGTTCTAGCAGTAGCAATTCCAAGGTGCTCCAAGGTTCCACAATTTGCATCATTCACCAGGGTTACAATCTTCTGAGCATAGTCCAGTGGCTGCTCCGCAGCAAGAGCATAGCAGTCAGAAGCAAGGAGGGGCTCTTGCACAAGAGAAGCCTCCGAAGAGGATAAGTTCATTTCCAATGAGGGTGAACTTTCAACAATTGTTGTCACCGGCAAAGACTGTTGGATGTCATTAACTGGTTCTGGGGCATTAGTCCCCCGGCTCTTCTGACGATTAATACTACTAAACATCTGGTGTGGTAGATGCAAAGGAGGGGATCCAGAACTAACAGCATAACCAATATCCTTGGAAACTTGTGGAGGCAGATTCATTAAGTTATTGGCATGTTCATCTTGGGTGCCTGGACGTTGCATCTGTGAGCCAATCTGAAGCATATCTTGTGATGATGGCTGAAGTCGACTGGGATCCACAGATGCACTCCTTGTTGGCATTGTAGTATTCTGTAAGTGTCCATAAGAGGGTTCACCAAAACGCTGTTGGGAATGATGTTCTTGCAAAACCTGTGAAAGCAATTGTTGTTGCCGTAACAACTGTTTCTGTTCCTCCTGTTTCTGTTGCTGCTTAAGCAACATGATCTTCTCAAGCAGTAACATCTGTTGTGTTGGTACTGCTGTCTGGGGTTGTAGCTGCTGCATAAAATACTGCTGCTGCAACATATTTAGCAGTTGGGAGTCTTGAGATAAAGTGGAGGAGAGTAACTTTTCAGGTGTTAGAATACCAGATGGGTTATCCATAGTCTGACCAAGCAAACTTGTCAAGGAAGGTGGGGTTGGTGTTTGCAGCCTCTGTTGCTGGATCCCAAAGGGAGCTTGGTTAGGAAAATTTTGAGCATGATGTAATTCAATCTTATCTTGAAGAGGATCCAATGCACTTTGTGCAGGAAAATTTGACCAACCACCAACACTATTATTTACTCCTGGAGCAGACCTGTCCAGTAATCCATGGAGGATGGACATCAAATCAGCACCTTGTGAATGAGGTGGCTGAAGAGTGTTGTCAGTCAATGATGTGAGGAGCTTTGCTTGAGGTGTGGGTGATTCAGAGATGATCTCTGGCTTTGAAACCACAGATGCATCATCTCTCCCTGGCCAATAAGGGTATGATTTTGGTAATGACCTTTGCCGTTCAAGTGTCATTCTCTTGGCCAAGAGATAGAGATCACTCTCATTTTCTATTCCAGATGCTGGAATGCTGCTAGGATTATTTGCAAGATAGCCTTGCAAACCTAAAAACAAAACCATACGAGACAGATTAGGCAGCCTGTTTGAAAATACTAGAAGAAAATTGAATAAACTGTGGAGAAGAGCTTTATAGATTACAATCCTGGAAAACTCTACCTACAGAATTCAGCAAACAAAGATTCTATACTATAGTATAATTAACTAAACAAATGTATGTGTCTCTATAAAAACCAAACCTTGGGATGGATTGCTGATGCCACCAGACATGAGTGACTCCAAAAACTTATTTTCAGCTTCTGTTGTCGGCCTTGACTCATTTCTGATCATATCAATCTCACTTGCACCAGCATGACCTTTCCCAAGGCTACCAGAATTTGACGTGCTTGACAAATCTGAGAGTTCACCCTGTTTTGGCACACCAAATCCAGGTGGTGGTCGTGCTTTAGCCCGTAAGTGGGGCATCACATCACCAAGTAAGGAAAATGGTGAGTCCTTGGATGCATTTGCAAGCCGAACTTCCAAATCTATCCCAAAATATCCTGCCTCATACCAGCCTATGATGTCAATCCCTGAAAAAGGGCCTTGAATTTCACCTTGAGGATCTTTGTAGTGAAGGAGAAGGTCCTCTGGAGCAGGCAGCTTCCTAGGTTCAGGTTCTCTCTCCAAAACTCCAGATGGTTGCCTCTTAAAAATAGGATCCTCACTAGATTGCCAATTTGCTTCATCTCTGGAACAGGATGAATTCATCACACTACTTTCTCGTTGGTTAATCATATCTTTCTGTGGTTGTAACCAGCTCATGTCAGGGGTTCTTGACCTGACATCAGTTGGAATCTCCTTCCAATCATGTGTGGCTGTAGGTGTTCGTTCTCCTAATGAGAAGGTTCTCCACATGGTGCTGGGATTAACAGAGTTAGTCACTTGTATGCTTGATTCCCTACTTATGGGCACCTCTTCAGCCCTTCTATAAGAACCCCTATCGTCCATAGCTGCAAAAATATAAATGAATAGAAGATCAATTGTCATAGCAAGAAAATGCATATCAAGATAAAGTAGGTAAGTAGTATGTCAAATCTACAGAATGCAGTATAGTGTATTGAACTTCAAACAACAAAAAAGCTGAAATTCAGCATGAACAAAATCTCAATCACGAATCAAATTAAACTAAACTACCAATCCATTGAACCAACAAATGTAATCCACAATAACTAGTTATCTCCCTCCCCATAACAAAACTCAACTAATCCATAATCCCCTAGACAAACTGATTCAGGTTGGCTACCTGAGTCCTCTTTATTATTCCAAACCCTGTGTAGTAATTCTTTAAAAGATGTAGCCATGAAAAAATTTCTTATGGTTCAAGAACTTCAATTGAGAATACCTTTCACATCCAATGAAATAATTTGTAAGGTGGTTGCCAATGGTATCACCAATACAGGTTAAACAATTTATGTGATTATACCTTCTGATTTCAATTTAGTATCTGGGTATCCCTTATGCTTTTCAAGTGCCAAATCTTGTGAATAACTGCTCTTTGGAACGTCAGAAATATCCTCTTTATGATCATCAATAGCAGTTGGTAAATCTTCTCTACTGCCTGTGTAAATAAATTCCAGCAGAAATTAGACACTACCTCAAAATAAACACAAACTTACAGCATAATATATCTTGAACTTGTTGAATACCAATCTTGTTTCGTTTTGAATGAGTAAACTCTAGAGAGTTCCGCCCTGCAGGCCCATCTTTAGGCATCTGAGAAGCACCACTACTTGTTATGTCCCCTTTGTCAATTCCCTTCAGAACAAGCTATCAAAAAAGCAATAAAATCAACAGAAGAGTCTAAATCAAAGTTCACCATCACAGTACATAAAAAAGGGAATTACCATTTCATCAGAATTAGGAGCACAAAGAGCTAGAGGTTCCAATGGTTCATTCTGCGTAAGTGAAGGCACTGGTACAAGCTCTTCTAAGAGTTTTTCATAAATCCCCATGTCAGTCCTCTTGTATAAGTCAAGCAATTTTGTCCTACTATATCTTAATGGGGATGGCTCTCCATGGTCAATTTCACCTTTGTCAGATATGCTTCCCAGAGATTGACGATGAGAAGGCATACTAGCCCCTGAGTTCCCACCAGAACTGACCCTTCCACGGCCAGCAGAAAATGTCAAAGGGTGGTTTTCTCCATGTCCCCGGCCATAGGAAAAAGTGGAAACCTGCTTGCTTGGAGTTAATGTTTGGTGATGAGGAGGCTCTACCCTTCCTCGACTTTGAGAAGAGGTGAACCTCCATGGGCGATAGTGATCCCCCTCCCTCTCATCCTTCCCGTGACTGGAAAGATGAGACAACCCTTTGTCAAGAGGCATATCACCATCTCTTCCATAGTCTGCCCACTTGTCACGCGAGCTTTCAGTGTTTTTATCATCAGGGCCCCAGCGTGTGTTCCATTTGCTCTCACGCCTTTGATCATAATTTGAGTCCCTGTTACCTGAATCAGTCCACCGCTCAGAGGAAGCACGGCGTGCTTCTCCAAATTGTCTTGAAGGCAAGTTATCTGCCCATCGATCCATCCTGCGGGTATCACTGAGCTCTTTATCTCCATCCCTCCAATGATCTTTGCGCACAGATGAATGGGTGTCTCGTTCTTCATCGCGCCAGCGGTCTCGGCGACCAGTGTCCATATCAAGTAAGGATGGCCTGAAAACGTTCTTCTTCTTCAGGGTATCATGAATCTCCTCACCATTTCCCGATGGCTTTACGACATCGGAGCGACTTCCATGAGCTGCATATGGGCCAGGATGACTTTCCTGTACAGATGATTGAAAAATTAAAATGGAAAAAGAAGCACATCTAAGACAGTAAGAATATTAATCAGAAAACTAACTAATTCTCGAGAAGAAAACTGTATGCTGATGATAGAAAGAAGGGCAAAGCATTCACACAACATAAAAACCCAAGACTACGAATGAACAAGAACACCATGAGTCAAATAATAGAAGTATATAGCCAAAACAACAACAATTATAACATACCATAGTTCCTATTCCCGGCTTACTCTCCCCTGGCTTTGGCAGAAGCCACTGCGGTGAAAGCGGAATAAGATTGTCAGATCCTTGAACATCTGCATAAAACAAAAGGATGCGTCAATTAGAGACATGGCATATATTCAAAACATGTATTTGAAATTAAAATGCTTAAAGTCACATTCAATGATAGTGCAAAACAGGTACACTCGCAATGAAACAAGCACTGAATTTTATTTTATTTAAAAAAAAAAACACATTATCTGAGAAATGACTGAACTTGCTTCTTGAAACTGCCACATGGACTTAACATTGAATAAGAAAAACAAAATCACGAAGACAATGAAAAACAAAAGCGCCAAGAGTAGAAAAACATCATTTGCAAAGCCTCAATTGACTTTCAAATGCAGCATTTCAAACTAATCATAAACCAAAGGAATGTCTCAGTAAAAGCTATTCAAGATGCAGCTAACAAGACGAAAATTAAACAATCAATTGTCAGTAAAAAGTTAAGTTGCATCGATCAATGGAATAAAAAATGTTGCAACTTTTATATGATCAATCACATAAATCCTAGTACTTGAATTCAATGACTGAACGAATATTGTGCAAGAAATGAACCAAAACTCGTTTTGAGTCGAATTAATTAAAATAAAATAGAACAACGTCAGTACGCAGCTATCGCATCGCACTTTTCAAATTGAAATTATATATATAATCAGTACGGAAAGTCGGTAACTAAAGTGCGCCAAGCTTAAAGCTATCATCATTTCTCTTCTTCACATTTCAATACCCAAACGACACAAAAAATGACACCAACAAAAACCTGCCATTTCCAAATGATAAACCAAGAACCCTAACTTCGAAGCAACAAAATCAATAACAACCCCCAGCAATCTCGTAAAACCACTGAATCTACCATAATGCTTCAATAGCACAACGAAATGAGCACAAAGATGAGGAAATGATCTGAGCTAGGGTTTTACAGAGACGAATGAAGCAAACTGTTCATCAATGCGAGTAGAGGAAAAGAAAGCACCGAGGTAAAATACCTTTGGAGACCGGGTGGGGAGGGTTGACGGTGAGTTGGTGGCGGGAATCGGAGGCAGAGCTATGAGCCATGGATGATCGGTGAAAGTTGAAAGAGCTAAAGAGAGAAGAAGGCCAAAGGAAAACCCTTAATGCTGTTTTTTTTATACTTTTTTCCCTTTTATATGTGCGTTTGCCTTGATTGCGCTAAGCGGGGTGAACAAAAGAAGATGTGAAGAGTGGCGGACAAATACAAGTTAGGTGAAAAAAACACAAATTATAAGAATAAAGTGGTAAAAAGATAAAATTATGGAGAGATTCGGGCTTACCGCATACGTTACTTTGGACAGATTCTTATGATTATCCGGTGGATAACACTTACGCGCTTTGCAAATTGCGTGAAGCACGGCACCTGAATAAGTCTTACAGTGGCTTGCACGTGAGGTTGTGATGAGAGGAGATAAGGACTATCTGTGTTTTGATTCGATGGCTCCGTAATACGCCACGACCGTGCTAGGGTCGAAACATGGTGCGAAGTGATGGACATTGGGTTGGTTGGGTCTTTTACCCAAAAGCCGAAAACAAATCAAGGTTTTTGGGCTTAATAGGCCGTAGCCATTGCAATTATCAGGCAGGAGAGTTAGTGACAGTACGTAATTAAATTTATCGTATCATTAAATAAATTAAAATATTAATTTTAATAAAATTAATTTAATATAAATTTTTATTAAAATTTTTTTTCAGTTGTAATTATGATAATTATTTTTAATTCCAATTATAATAAAAAAAATTTTTTTTTAAATTTCACTGCCATTAATTTCGTCGTCAATCGTTATGGAGCCTTACTCGTTACGGAGTGATGCCGGGTGCGCATGCTGTAAAGGAAATGGCTGGAAGACTTGGCACCACCAGTTCGTGGAGACTAAATTCCCGGCTTTATTTCTATATAACTATGTAATCGCAATCCTCCAGGAATGTTAGTCTTCAAACCAATTTGTTGGAATCGTCCGTCTGTTTCGTTTTCGTTCTCAAGATCTCTCACAATGGCCCAAGCAGATCAGCTTAACAACAGCCCTGAAATCAAAGAGACATCCCTAAAAGCCCCAAAACTCAGTCAAAATGGAGTGCATGGAGTTACTCGAGCTCCAGTCCCACTTTTGAGAGTCAAAAAGCTTTCTGAAAAAGCTTTGTTGCCCTCAAGGGGTTCCCCTCTCGCTGCTGGCTACGATCTCTCAAGGTAAATCCTCAAGCCTGATCCTTCATGGAAAACAACATTGGATTTACACTAAATTGATGGGAGTTTCTAACCTTTTATTGTCTGCCACAGTGCAATGGATACCAAAGTGCCAGCTAGAGGAAAAGCTTTGGTTCCTACTGATCTAAGCATTTCAGTACCTGAAGGAACCTATGGTCGCGTTGGTACAAGTCTCTTAACTTTATTTTTTAACTTAACTTTATATAATCCAGTTTGATTGATTTCGTTGACTGAATCGAAATTTGGGTATTTCTTTTGGGTGTAGCGCCAAGGTCTGGCTTGGCTTGGAAGCAATCCATTGATGTGAGTGCTGGAGTAATCGATGCTGATTACAGGGGACCTCTTGGGGTTATTTTGTTCAACCATTCGGATGTTGACTTTGAAGTGAAAGTGGGTGATAGAATTGCACTGTTGATTATTGAGAAGATCATGACACCTGATGTTTTGGAAGTTGAGGAGTTGGATTCCACTGCTAGAGGGGCTGGGGGATTTGGATCCACTGGTGTTTAAATCTCTGGGTTTTCTTTTTCCTATGGAATGAATTAGGATTAGGTGGCGGTTATTTAGAGGGTTAACAAAGCTGCCTTGTTTTGTAACGAACCTCTAATTGGTCAAATTATATATTCTGCTGTGACGAGCTCTCTCTATATTGAAGATCAAAATTCTTGATTAACTGACTTTAACATAAATTCTTGATTTCAAACTATTCCCTGTTTTTTTTTTTTTTTGGTTTTCGATTAGCCTATAGACCATAGCTGATTTATGTCGATAAACTAAGCGTGAAAGGCCTGTGCAGCATGCTCAAGCCTCAAGGTCCTGATAAAAACTTGGAACCTCAAGTTGTTCCATAGCACAAACCTTTCGCGTCAACAAGCTAGGGTCTTATTCATTTTCATTTTTCCCCTCAATTTTCACATTGAGTTATAAAAATGTGATAATGGATAAGAAAATCACAAGAAAGTGGACAGTCGAGGCATACCAATTTGAGCTTCGACAAATTTGGTTCCGCCATGTTGTTTCTTAGAGCATGGTTCTTACGAAGCTGGCAAATTTCATCTAGCTGCATCTGTTATAAACAAGGGTACAGAAACTAGGCAATTCTATGTTGTGTAAAGCAAGTGCATTTATTCAAACTATTTTTCGGATGATTTTGAAATTACTATAGGTAGCCTCAAGTAAATATTCCACGTCTAACATAGATTTATTACATCCATTTTGCAACCCGTAGGGTTCAATGGACCTCCGTAGACATCAAAAAACAAAATCAGAATCCCGAGGCATACTGCGATGAAGCTGCTTCATCATCAAGCCAGTTATATCCGAGGTAGAAGAGTAGGTGGGTCAGCTGGGATATCAGAACTTGCCTGTCAAGCAATTTATAAATTTTCAGTAACAGTGGAGTGTCATATTACTGAAAATTCCTTATCCCAAATAACATTTTAAAAGAACAAGGGAAATTTCTAACTGCTTGCTCAAAACTACACAAACAAGATAAGGGTTCCTGAAGTAAGCATTTAGATTTTAGACTTCTAGAACTGTTGCAACACCGTAGGGTTTATAATTATTTTTGGCTAATGGCTCATAGGGAGAAAGTGCCAATACTATAATTACCCACCATTAAGAAAATTATATCTGATATTAAGAAATTTTCTTTTCTTAACATATATTGCAGAATTTCTTGTGATAAACCTTATTGTTAAACCGAACATTATGATATTGAGATTTATGTCAACATTCTATTTCTAAAAGGAGCAATATATATTCTGGTCATTACAGAAGGTTTAAAGACTTAGCAATCTTAGAACCATGACAAAGAAGATTAATTTTTACTCAATTCAGGGTAATGATGAATTCGTCTTACCTCTAGATATCTTGTTAACAATGTGGTGGTACTAAAATTAAAGCCCTCAACAGGTTCTCCTTTTGTACGTGATGCATGAAGCTGTTTCCGGACTTGAGTAGCTAGTGACTGCATTTACAAAAATAAAACAATTAGTCTAAGTTCAGGAATCCAGAAACAAATTGCACAGAAACATTCACCAAAATGTGCATCTTGGAAGGTGGAACAGTATGATTTTATGTACAGAACATGATGGAGTGTTCTTTGGTGATACATACCTTCCCCAACTCAACTCCCCACTGGTCAAAAGAATTAATGCCCCATACAAAACCTTCCACAGCAATTCTATGTTCATAGCTTGCTAACAGCTGAGATAGCCAAGAAGTCATTGTGTTAGACCAGACAGGTGAAACATGTTATATGCATTACGTGCTAGTACTTGAAAATTAAAGCTAGAAGAGTTACAAGGTAGTAATTGACTCAGTGATGCAGAGTCATATCAATAATACAAAAGTCCTCAACAGTTATAACCAGCCACAAGAAAAATGCTTCATTAATTAAAATCTAAAGAGAAGAAACCAGTCACCTGCCCAATATTGCAAGCATTAAGAGATGGAAGCAAAAGACTGAGAGAAGGCCGATTCCCAGAGAACATCTATGGAGGATAACAGAACAAGTTAGGAAATTGATTCTATTATGAACTAAAGCTTGGTAGAAGAGCTGAAAGTAAATCACCTTATGAGGAATAAGATGCTGTGGAACATTCTCCTTCAGCAACTGCTCTAGTGTCTGCAGTGAATCAATTTTTTTCAGCAGTGATATAGATTTAGATTTTAGGCAACGATTCATGAAAAAAGAAAATAAATGTTCTAGTGCTTGAAACTTAAATGAAATTGGCCTCCATAATAAGGACAAATAATGGATACCTAAGAAAGCAAAAAACCTACCTTCCCATATGCCAGGGCATCTGGCTGTGCAAAAAAGTTGGACATGAGCTCATCATGGTTGCTCACCACTTCACCTGCCAATAATAATAACCATGTTCAAAAATGCAATAGAAACAACAAAATATGGGATCTTCAAGTTAGCAACCAACTGGTTAAAAAAAATGTTAGCAACCAATACAGAAATAAATTGGATTATACCTTTAAGGTACACAGGTTGCTGGCTCTTCACAATACCGATGAAATCACATGGAATTACACGTCCCTGAAGGTGTCAAAATGAGAAATTAAAATGCTTATAGCTGCAGCACAATGTGGTTTAGCACAGAGCCTGATTCTGCAAATACCAAATGATGAAGAACCATCCCAACCCCACCCTTTACCACTTGACACAATAATTTGAGAGTACCAAACTGAACCTATTTACACAGATGGTAAGCCATTGAGGTTATGCGGTAACAGAAACAATCCTTCCATCAAAGCTAAGGACAAAGATATGTGAAATTATGACTCAGTGACATCTCAAGAGTTGGAACCTATATTCTGATGAATAACATTCAAAAGGAGCTTTTATTGAACCAGTTCTTCAAGCACACTTTAGTACTTCAGTTTGTTATTTCATGGTAACTAATTAAGATAACGTGCCATATCTTGACAAGTCTCTCAAAAAGCTTTCCAGTCTCTTCATTTTACGCACAAGCTTCCAAATTTATGGTTGCCTATAGGCAAATCAATAGCTCTCCTAGGACCAGGCAGGGACATATAACTATACTAGCACCGCAAATATTTAAGGTGGTCTAAGATGTTATATGAGGCAGAAATCACCTAATATCCTTCTTTCTGCAAAACAAAGCAAACAATTCACCTGGTGGATTAGTTGATAAAAGCTGTGCTGGCCATTTGTTCCAGGTTCACCGAAATCAATTTCACCAGCCTCATAAGGAAGTGGCACACCATCAATTGACACCCCCTTGCCATTACTCTCCATGCTGACCTGAATTGAAGTAGATTTAGCAATATATAAGATTTAAAAACACAAATTCAAACCCCCACCACCTAAAGCTGCCCAGTGAAAAAAGGAGTTCCCGTAAACATGCCTGTTGAATATGTGGAGCGAATTTCTCGAGGGCCTGGGAGTAGGGTAAAATGGCCTATATACATGTAAAGTGTTAATGACGGGTAGCAAGCATTTAAAAGGTAAATGATAAGTTTAACTTAAGTTAGAAGCAGAAATACTCACTCTTGCAGGATATCCAAGAAATGAAACGTTCCATACACTGAGCAAACCCAAAAGTACCTAATCTTCCAAATAATGTTATCATACAATGTCATAAAGTAACCATAAAGAAGACCAAGATGCCAATTGGAAAAGAACTTGAATTATCAACCAAACTTATATGAAAAAAAACAGTCTTATGCATGGTTAAATGAAACATAGCATCCAGTATATCCACTTTGGGAAATACAAAGAGGTAGCTTATTCTGGACTAATCCATCCTGATTTTAACTAACCATAACCTTCATACCGTTATTCATAGATTCTATTCAAATTCATTAACCCATAATACCGCTGGTAGATAATTTTATGCTAATCTAATAAGTAACAAAGAACCACAGCTGCAGTGGAAGATGTTACATCAAGGCACTTACAGGTATATTCTTCTCAAAAGGAGCTGAACGGAAATGCTGATCAATACTTGAAGCCCCATTTAAGAACCTTCAAGTAACAAATAAAAAGCTTATTCAAGTATATATCAAAAACAAGCCAAAATAAAAGGAAGAACATGAATGAATAATTATCCAAAGCACCAAGGCGAATGAAGAATGGATTAAGAGTTCGGTTGAAAATTAAAACCTACCCCATATAAATCACACACTCTTAGTTGTCATACTTTTGTTAGTATTTCCAGATTCTCATAGTATTCGAAATTGTTTTGTATCATGCAATAATGATTTAACTTAAAGATCTGTGCACTAGCGACTAACATTTTTTGTTATCCATTATGCTACAATTTTATTTACTAAGAAATTGTTTTCAGTTACAACTATTTGTCAAGAAAGGAGAAATAAACCACTTCTCAGTGGAGCAAGTAAAACTGAATTTCATGATATATGAACTCCATGGAGAAAAACGAAAAAGAAAACCCTTTTTATTCCTAAGTTCTGTTTGTTATATTGAAGGTGATGTATTTCCTTAGAACAATGAAGCTGGTTTTAAAATTGCACAAATCTGTCTCACCAATCATATATGGACACCTAATGTATGTTATAAATCATAATTTATTGGTCATCAAAATTTGAAAAGTGAATGCAATATGGTCAAAAAAATAAGACGTTAACATACTTTTCTACCATTGAGAAACCATACTGCAGAGACAAAGGCAACACCCCAACAGCACTGCAAACTGCAAATGGCAGTTTACTTCAAGGTTAATCACCTTCCACAATTCAACTAGAAATGCGTCTCAATCCTCAATAGAAATCAAATGACCATAAATGATGCTTAGAGAGAAGCAAGGGGACAGGGAATAAAACTTACCACTGTAACGACCACCAACCCAATCCCAGAATGCAAATGCATTATTAGGATCAATGCCAAACTTTTCAACAAGCTGCATGGTAAACATTTATAAGCTGCATAGGATTAATGCTAGCATATAATATGTAATTCGAAGCCTTATTTATTGGCACTTTAGCAATTGAGGAGGAGAAAGGGAATAAATAGAAAGCTATGAAGCATGGAAATTCAAAAAAAAAGAAAAAAGAAAAAGAGGAATGCATAATCGAGAGGCCATCTCTTTCAAGCAAAAAGAGAATAAACATTTTCACTTCATCAAAAATAAGTTGTGAACAGTACTCTAGCACATCAGCAATGCTTGATTTGCAACACAAAATCCCAAAATAAACAATTTAATATGTACGTAGTGGCATGGCAAATGCTTAATCATTCAATTAAAGAGATGGATGAACAAGCTGATACCGTTAGATTAGTACTGACGGCCACCATGTGTTTTGCAACTGCAAACGGCCTGAAATATTTTGAATCACAAGTGGCTTAATAAGAAAGCATGCTTGTACCACATATTAACATAGTAAAACGGAGAGAAAAATCTAGATAATTCACAAAAAATCTAGTAAGTTATAACAAGCAATAAGAAATAGAAACCCTCCAATCCAGGAAAATTTTAGATGAACATTAATTCGTTGAATATTGAGAATGATTCCTAACAAGATTGAGAAAATCAAACACTTATTAAAAGCATTCAAAGATGAGAACATCTCCTCTCTTTTGCTCAATGTTTTGTCACTCTGAATTTTAATTGTTAAGCTGAGAAATAGTTCCAAAATATTTGGGCAAAAATAGTAGCAGAATCTCAAACTACCACTGCATGCACGTTGTTGAAAAAATAAGTAGTGTTATCATGACACTAACCCAAGAGCAGATGAAATCCATTCCCTTAATGTTCGGGCATTCAACATAGTTTCTGCTGTTGTGAAAGTCTTTGAAACCACCACAACTAGATAAAATTACAACCAAATTAAATCAGAAGAATCAGTCGTGCAAAAAAAAAAAAAGGTTTAGACAACAGAAAAACAACACACTTTCAGATGAATAAAAAGAAACTCGTTACCAAGAGTGGTTTCAGGGTTTAATCCTGCAATATTTCTAGCAACATCAATGGGATCCACGTTTGCAAGGCTGTGGCAATTCAAACAAGAGATTACATTGAATTTTCAGAATAACCGAATGAAACAACAATTAATTATGTATGCAGGCATTATAAATTACAATGAAAATGTCAGACAAGCAGTTAGAATAACAACAGGCACTTTATGTTGAGAATCCACCACAACCAAAATGCTTTTTTTACTTGATCACACTTATGCCAATGCCAGTCTTAGAAGGCCTATGTGGCAGCTAAGTGTTCCCCCTTTTATTAAAAAAAAAGAGCAAGGTGCCTCAATCTACCTTTTTCTGACACATTCCTCCTCCCCCTCCTTTCCTCACCAAAAAGGAAAGAAGCAGCATCTACTGACAATCTTATAATACAATGAAAGAAAGGAAGTAGGCACAAAAGAGTACCAGCTGCAATAATAAACAACTACTTACAAACGCAATTGGCGTCCTTTTGCAAATTCAACAGCCTCAGGATCTGTGAGAGTTGTCAAGAGAAAACCATGAATACATCAGCTACACTTGTTTCTTAATAGGCCACAAGTAACAGGGTTACACAACTAATGATAAAATGCACCAGTATAACCTGTTTGGAGAGCAGTATGCACAAATAAAGGACCTAAGAAACTGCCACCAATGCCGATTGCAATAACATCCTTCAGTGGTTTTCCAGTAGCTCCAACCTGCCAAGATTTACCTGTTTCTCAGCAATAGAAGAATAACGTATTCAAATTTGATGTACAAGAAAACACTGATAAGTCACCCAGGAGCCACTGCGAACTTTCTCCGAAAAATCCTTGATCTTATCCAAAACATTCCAAACATCTGGAACTACATTCTTTCCATCACTGTATATAACAGCATCCCTCGGTGCTCGGAGAGCTACATGAAGCACTGACCTATTCTCTGTGCTATTTATCTGAAATATTCCAGCCAAACACAATTGCAAAGTCATAAACACTAAAAATGAAAAGGCATTAAAGGCTATTCAACTATTACAATATCATCACCAATTTTTACATCAAACCCAAAACTAGTCTTATCTTTCTCTAAAGAGAAAGTTAGACTTACATGCTCGCCGCTGTACATTCGATTAATTTTTTGTTTGAGTGAAGCAGCCTGAAAATGTAAAAATATTTTTTAAAAAAATCCAAAACTATTATGATTTAGACTCATAATTTCAGAAACGAGAATTAATCCAAATTCACCTCTGCTAATTGATAGAGTTTATCCATGGTGTCAAGAGTGGCTCGTTGCCTTGAGTAGTCCAAAAGCATTCCATCGAACTCACTGTAGAATTATAAGTATATATAATCAAATATTTCATCATTTTTTTATTACAAGCTTCGTGTAGATATCGAATCAGAGAAAATGGTGAGAGTTGAACAGAGGATCTTACACCATCATCGATTGGCATCGTTCTTTGTCGTTCATCAAATCACGAAGATGAGTTTTCTTGAAATCCTCGACATGAGACTATAAAACGAATTTTGTGTTGAACAAATAGATTTTTCTAGCTATTTTTAACAATAAGCTTGGCTAGACAGTGGCCCGGAAAGTTACCTTCAAGTCCTTCCATGGCTCGGAGTCGCAGATTAGAGTGGTCGAAGCCATCAATTCAGCCTATACTAAAACGCAACAAATATCTGCAACAGATAGATACTGATTAGCTTGAGATTTCGAAGCGGTGTGAGAAAAACGCGAATAATAATTTGAGAAGACACCGGAGAAAGGAAGAAATTCAGATGATGATGAAGAGAAAAAGAATAAAGAGAAATAACTAATGGAAGCAGAAAAGTTGAAGTTGGCAAAAGCTTTGGCGAGACTTAGAAGGTCATGTGACTATAAAAGGTTAAAAGGCTACGTGGTGGAGAGATGTGAGGGTCCGTGACGTCCGTCGAAAGGGCATCTTGCAATTTGATACGGATCAGGAATTCCGGTCACTGAAAGTTGGGTTGTTTGATTGTGACTTCTGAGGGTTGCATTCCGTGGGCGACGGATTTCCGATGGGCCCGAGAAACCGCGAGCTAAATTACAAAAATGTTACGTTTAAACGACCGCGTCTGAGATTGGACTCATCGAAATTCTTTAAAGCCCAAAGCCAATGTGAATTACAAAAATGTTACGGTCTAAACGACCGCGTCTGAGATTGGACTCATCGAAAATTCTCTTAAGCCCAAAACGCATAAAGAAAGTCCCAAACGCATAAAATGTATTTCGTTGCCGGGGATCAAATCCGGGGTGAAAGCCAGACACAAGAGAACTTGAAAGTTATTATTTATACTTTCCAATCTTATTATTTATTTAGAAAACAAGAGAACTCGAAAGTGGGATTGCCGTGGAAAGTGGGTTGTTTTGGCTTGTTTGCTTGGTTTCAGCAGACGAAATTTCAGCCAAGCCACAGAGAAGTTTCGCTAGTACCAACTCAAGGATCACGACAACAAAGTACTATTAGTCTATTACATTTTTGTTTTCAAAGGCCTCGCTTCTAGCAAATAAGCAGGAAATGTAGTCTCAAATAGAGTATGTGTTCTTACATTTTCCAAACAATATAGCAGAATGGAATCACATACATAAACTATACCATTTCCATTCTTGATGAATTCCAAACTTAGAGGAAAAAAAAAAGTATTCCATTGCCGGGGACCGAAACTGGGTCTGCTGAAAATCCTAGTCATTGGACGATAAAGGAGTTATTGAAAGTGGTAGCCACTGTCAAGTTACATAACTGATTCATGTTTACAGGAATGAACACTTTCTAAAATGTCTGTCAATTGTTATCTATTATGATCATAAATCGTCTCTTACTGATGAAATTATATTGTTATAGGATGTTTGGTTCAAAGTGACCAGATCCCAACTTTGGTTAGAACTTAAAACTTGCTTTCCATGAATTGTTAAACTTCTGCTATCAATTTCTAAGGCCATTCTTGTAGTTATTTCCTTAATTAGACATTCTTATCGAGGTCTTTCTCATGTTCTGAAACACCCCTGCATCCATCTCTTTCTAATTTAAGTAATACTATTATGAGGACTTTCTAAAATTTTGTTTCTTATTACATGCAACGGAATTATGTTTTGAGGCGAAAAAGAAAAAAGACAATAATTTTTCCTACTGATAGAGGAAGGAAAGAAGCTCTAATATGAACAAATAACTAAGAACTACCATCCGTTGTACCTATGTATATATATTTCTAATTAAACTACCATCCATTGTACCTATCTATATATATTTCTAATTAAACGGATATCTCTCGAGAGCAATGGAACTATGTAGTCTCTTCTGATTTGGTTGCTTGCCAGAGATCAAACTCTTCGTCCCTTCATTCTCAAAAGATTGTTTTCTTGAATGATTGAGCATATGCTTTTTCCAACATATATAAAATAGGAAACAGAAATGAACTGTAATTATTTTTAATCCATTTTCATACTGATGCTTCAAAATTGACAATTCTTGTTGCTGGAATGCCTGATGGATCCACTGTGTTAAATATTTTAGGCACAGACATGCCACCAGAGATAACAATTTCTGCAACAAAAGGGAGGACCTAAATTTAAATCACCACAAATATATATATATATATATAATTATAAAGGATGTGTCAGTCTTAATTTTGAGTTTGAGTTTCATACCGATCCCTTCTCGAACTGATAAATTGGGCCTCAAAATATCCCTTGAACTAATCAGAAATATATCACCGAGATAGAGATGGTTTGTGGGAACATAAACACAGCATAGTTCCTCTTCACCTACACCCTTCTGAAGAATAACTGTAGAAGTAATAAATCCAAACATATATTGGCCCACTCGGGGGTGCCTTATGATCGCCACTTCTTTGAAAGCATTAGAATTCTGATCTGCAAAGTGGTATCCATGTGGCTTTGAGTTTATAAAAGTTGGAAGCTGTAGCCATTAAATATATAGAAAGACTTACCTGGTGATATTGCAGCACTTATTTGCTTTGAGGCAGCATAAATATAGCTCACTAGCGGCATCTTCTTGATGAACCATTCACCAAGGGTAAGAACTGAAGCTCCCCACCATGATGACATGAAAACGCCTACTAAAAAGATAAAAGTGATGGAGGTAGCAAATCCTAGACCTGCATCATGTTGGCCAAATCATTCAAGCAGCAAACACTAAAATCAAGAATTATATCATTTGCCATCCGAAAAGGTTGGATTATTGTTAAAAGTTTAGCCATGCGTTGTCGTATGGTTCAGATTATAAAAATGGCAATGCTTGAAGACTGTTCTTCTGCAGCATATATCCAGTTTCATAATAGCTAAAAGAGGATCCGAGAAAAGGCAGTTTATTCTGCTTACCAAAAACATTGATGCCTAGCTGATTATAGACCGGGGAGAAAAATCCATCAACGAAATGAACGAAACCCCAAGTAATATAGAATGTAATGGCCAGTGGAAGAAGTATGACACTGCAAAGTAATGCTATCACATTTCATCACAAGACAACCCACAGAATCTCTATAATTTCGAGCTTGATGATTCTGTATCTTTTTCAACACGATTGAAGTTTTGAATGTATGTGGTTTCAATGACTACACTAACAGTTTAAATGCCATGAAGACAACAAAAGTTGCAATGCATGGTTCAAGATGAAAAGAACTTACCATCCTGTCATAAACTTTTTAGAAGCCCAGCTGCGGATTACTTTTAAAAATGCCTATGCCAGAATGCAAAAGAAAAATATAGTTACAAAGAAGAATTTGTAAGAGTTCTCTTTCTGATATATTCATAACCATGAATGATGACAAGAGGACAATGTTGTCAATCCTTCTGGTTTAAGTTTGCATTTTCTCTCTATAGTAGTTTCTTTTTTTTTTTTTTTTTTTATAAATGGATCTAAATAGAAAATATAAAACAAATTAAATCATCATCTTTGCGTCGTTGCATGCATGTCCTTTTAGTTTTTACCAATCCAAGTTGAGAAAACGCGAGAAAGAAGGGAATGAACGAGGAAGGAAAAGAAAGGCACCTCCCGGCCATGGGAGGAGGCCATGGTAGGAGCAGCAGTAGGGGCGGAGGATTTGGAGACTCCATTTTCAGAGATTGTTGCAACTGGGATAAGCAGCTCCCTATCTCTCTCCCGATCTCTCGTTCCCATTTCCCTTCCTTTTGGCCCTTTTCTTCCTTCTCTGTTTCTCTCTTTTTCTCTGACTCTGTCTCTGTTTCTCTCTCTCTTCCCTCGAGCTAGTATAACGAACTATCGGATCAAGGTTGTTAGGATTATTGGGAAATATATTAACTGAAAAATAAATTGAGCCAAACTCGTGGGTTTGACTCAGCTTGTTGTTGGGTTGTTCCAAATTCTTCCAATATTTTATTTCCTTGAACGACGTAGTTGAAGCTTTCTAATTGCATGTGTTTGAAGTGCATAAATTGCATCAAATCTTAAAGTCACTCCAATTACACATACAATATATACAACAAGACATGGTCTCCTAATTTCTAAACAAATAGGCAAACATTTCTTTTATCTTTTTGCCTTGACAATAAACAAATTTTCACATGCATCACAAACTCTCACATAAAAGGAACAAAAAGAAGACTTTGTGCCTATATATTTGCACATGCTGGCGTTGCCAATCTCCCCCAACCACTTGTGAAAGATGACGATGCCTTGCCCACGAAATGAGAATAAGAGCAGCAAAAGCTGCCTGTTGCCCTTTATTCATCTGTCCGATTATTCCCATTTTCAGGTACTCCCACCAGCGTAAGTGCAACCATTATAGCCTGTAAAGTGTAAAAGCAAAAGAATTAGACACGGTATGAGTCATTGTAACGTAAAGCAAAGATTCTACTTTAAGAAATTTAAAGTTACTTGGGTTGTTGGAAGAAAGCATGGCTGTTTGTGTGAAATCACAGTTCCATGGATTCTGACCAGCAGTTTGATAGAAGAGATTCATGGCATATGCAGCATGTGCTGCTATTGTATTTGGTTCAAAACAAGCCCCTCCTGGTTGAATTGGACTACAATCTATCCCTTGTGCACAAGCGTAATCCAAACTCGCCTGCAATTCAGCATCTGAAACACCAGCCTTTGGAACACACCAAGCTGCTTTCTTTGGCTGTGACGATGGTGTCACTGGTGTCTTTGGCGTTGCCGGAGTCACCGGAGTCTTTGTAAAAAAGAAAAACACTTAAATAAGAATCACTGCCTCTACCAGTATGAAGATGATTATTGTTGAGTAAAGATTAGTTGCAATTTTTCTCACCTGGCTACTCTTTGAGAGGCCAATGTCATAAGTCGTGGTAAGATCAGACTTGAAAAGCCCGAAGGATCTCTCGGAAGTTGGTCCAGGTTTCAAGTCCTCATCGTACAGAGCAAATAGATATGTGTCAACCGATTTCCCTGGCATCAGTGGAGTTCCCACCATTGATCGAAGGTGTGCAATCAAGTTTCCATTGTAAGCCTTAGCGTTCTCAATGCTTGGTCCCACTTCGTCGCTATCTCCTTTGTACGGCCAACCAGTCTCAGCAACCACAATCTCAACATTCTTAAACCCCATGGCATTCAACGCAGAACGAACAGCATCCACCTGGCAAAGTAATAAACCCATTAAATTAAACAAAACAATCATTTTAAATGGGAATTACAGAACATGTTCATTTATAACATTGAACTCAACCTGAGCATCGAACATGTTCATGTAGTTGATTTTCGTGTTGGCATCAAAACGCCCAGAATTTGGTTGAAACAAGCAGAACGCCAGCGTTTCAGGCCTGGGATCGCTCCTGTACGCGAAATAAGGATACGGGTTGATCGCAAAAGGAGAACCAGTAGCATTGTTAAACGACAAGAGCCCCTTCAACACGTCTCCAAAACTTGGGTCGAAGCTCCCAGAAGACGGCGGCTCAGACTGTTTCAACAAAGCCATTGAATGCACCGACGAGACCTTGACTTTATCTCCTAACGAGGCCGCATCAAGAGCATTCTTGACATTTTGCATGGCTGGCAACAACTGAGTTATCAAATTTTTATCTCCCGACATGACAACCTCGTTGCCAACGGTTATAAGGATGATTTTGCTGGATGGATAATATGCAACTATGTTGGTGTTCACCCAGTTTTTGGCAAAATTTGGGTCTGAGGCTAAAGCGGGGATGTCACCATTGGCCGTACCAACGACGATGCCAACTCCGGTGTTGGCTAGCGCTTTGATCATTGCAGGGTCGGACCCGTATAGTCGAACCTTTTGGATTGAAGTGGATTGGAGAAGCTTTGCAGTGGCTTCCGGTGACGGTAGGTTGTCGGCAACTTGGCCATAGTTTACGCCGATAAATGATTGGGATTCTGCAAAAACAGACGTACGTTAGACTTGTTTAATATTTGTTTTTCCTTTTCTACTTGGAGAATACAAATTTCCTTGGAAATTGGAGACTCCGTTACGTGTAAAATAAACTGGTGCCACTATTCATAGATGTATAAGAAGCGAAATGATAAAGGAGCACTCAGATTCCATGTCTGATGTTCAAAGAAAATTTGCTAATTACTAAAAAACAGAGAGAGAGCCAGAGTTGAAGTGAAAACTCTCCTTCTGCAAATTAAACAAGATAGCACGAAAGTGCCACATTTTTCTTGGGCCAATACAAAGCAAAAACAATAGAGTTGGAAACGAAGATTCTGCTAAACCAGACAATCTCAGAAGCTTAGATTAAATTAAACTGAGAAGAAGGAAATTTAGAAGCTTACTTGCTTTAATTGCTCCCATTAACAGAGTCAGAAGAAGGAAAGTTATAGTAAAACGAAACGCGGCCATGACTGAAGAGATGGTCTCTGTTTCTGAACGTTACAAAGTTTGATCATCGGTGAAAGAATCGGAGCGATAAATAAAGAAGAAAAGCTTAGGGACGAAGGGTAGAACCGTAAAAGAAAACTTCCAGTGGGCAAAGAATTTGAGAAAAAAAAAAATAGCTCCATGTTTTTTGAATGGGCCAGGTGTAATTTCATACAATCACGTGAGCGTAGCCTAGAATTGGGATTAGATTTGTGTCACTGCACAGGAACCGAAAGTTGCTTTATTCCGGAGAACTTTCACTTTGACATTTGACGCAAATGCCCTCCATTTTGAACGTTAGGCCTGATTTTTGGATTTTTTTATTGTATCCAGTTCTCTGCGCTTGTGGTCCTAAACTGAACTCTGGTTCAAATCGGACTCGTCTGGATTGTACTTATGTCGGGTTGATACGTGATCATTGTCGGAAATAAGTTAATCTGGAAACAACTCTATAACTGAAATTCCAAATCAAAACGTGATTTTGTGTCAGTAATTCGTGCATGCAATTTACCAGTTTAACGTAAAAATAATCTAGCAAAATTAGCTTTTTTTTTCTTGATAATTAGGATTAATCTTGACCAAAGACAAAAACAAATGAGAATACTTTTTCTTCCAACAAAATCATGAATGTTGACTCAGATACAGCTGCCGAGCTAATCCAACAGTCATAACCTAAAAGGTTTAACTCCAACTCAAATTAAAGGTTCAAGTTGAAGAGACAATGGTATTGATTTTGGTGGGATTGAAAGTAATGATTATGTCAGTGTAATTTAGTATTTATAATAATGTGATTAAAATTAATAATAAAAATTTGGTTTGGATGTAAATTTATTGTTCAAAAATAATATTTTAGTTTAAGAGTATAAAAAATATTTTATTTTTAAAATTGAGATAAATTATCAATTCATAAAAAAATTTATAAATACTTTAAAACTTATAAATTATTTATCAACAATAAATCATAAAAATTTAAATTTAAATATTTTACATTCATATCCTAAATTTTAATTACTTTTGTTAATTTTTATTTACCTAAAACAACCATCATTAAAAAGTATTTTTATTCCTTTACATTAAGATAATCGACTGCCCTAAGACAATCATTGAATAATTGTCCCTTCAGTCAAAGATGAAAGGAGTACTGAACCCAATTGCATCAACAGAACCATTCAAATGTAACCACGATGCAGTTTGATGAAATGGAATCCAAACTAATCTGAAAATTATAAATTTGGATTCTTAAGTAATCCAATTATGTGCTTTATAATGTGCTCTAAAACTTGATATTGAATATTATATAATCTTCAAATGTCAAACTTTTTTTTTTTTTTGACATAGCTATGCTTTAAGCAATGAAACAACATCCTGTCTTTCAGGGAGGTTACATAGTCTTCTTTTTTTTTTTTTTTTTTTTTTCTTCTCCATTAAGAAACGACAATTCTTTCTCTAGATAGAATACATTTTCCACCACACAAAAAAGAAGAGCTTTGAACATAACTAAGAAAGTAAAGCATATTCAATCATAACACCCACTGGAAAAAGAAGAGCTTCTCACGTAATTGTACAGTACATATACTGATAGTCATGGACAAAAGCATAAAGGTAGTCTTAAAAAAAAAAAAAAAAACATAAAGTAAGCTGTTAAACCTTCAAAATTAAGTTTTCTACTAGCTCCTTCCAAATCCACCAAATTATTTGAGTAGGTATTCCTTTCCGATACTAAGAAATCTACATCTATTAAAGTGTTTTTTAAGAATAATATATTAATCCATAAAATCCAAATATTTTCAACTACAACACTTGTTAAAATGGATTAATTTAAAATTTAACTCAATTAATTTATAAATTTATTTTTTAAAATTAATATCTAATAATTTTAAATTTTAACATTTACAATTATTTTTTCAATCTGTCTATTATAATTTCGTTCACAAAAAAATTTATAAATAATCACTAAAAAAGCAAGTTACCGTTAAAAAAAACTGAATATTTGATATAATGAATATTTTTTAAAAAGTTAAAATTTAATGTGAGGACTTTTTTCCTTTATTTTATTTTTTACCGTGTAATAAAAAATGAATATTTAAAAATTAATGAAAACACTATATGAGAGGTTTTATTATTTTTAAATAGGTTAAAAGAAAATTTTGTCTTGGGCCCAAATTAGAGGCCCATTGTCGAACCACGTAGATTGCTTATCTTTTTGCCACTGGTCCCAGCCCGAAAGAGCAGCCATCTGGGTTTCTTCGCGCCGAAGAAAGAGTTTGAATTTACCTTCTTTGTTTCCATGTGATTTGGTTCCAAAATTTGGAGCTGAAATTCATTGGCGAATTTTTCTTTTCTTTTTCGTTTCCGCG